ATGCAAACATCTGAAACCTCAAAGCTTCAGCAGCTGGTGGAGAACATTGACAAAAAGATTACAGACCCCAACCAGTGTGTCCTCTGTCACCGCGTCCTCAGCTGTCAGAGTGCGCTGAAGATGCACTACCGCATTCACACCGGGGAGAGGCCCTTCAAATGTAAAGTGTGCGGCAGGGCTTTCACCACCAAAGGCAACCTGAAGACTCACATTGGTGTTCACAGAGAAAATCCCCCAGTTCAGGTGCAACACTCGTGTCCCATTTGCCAGAAGAAGTTCACCAACGCTGTTGTGCTTCAGCAGCACATCCGCATGCACATGGTCGGACAGATTCCAGACTCGACCCTGGTGGATGGGCTGCAGGAGACAGATGGCGATGTCTCCTTCAATGAGAGGAACTTTGACAGTCTCAGTAGCAATGACAATGACCTCATTGATGATATTTCAATGGAGGATGATAATGACGAAGAGGAAGAGGAGGTAGAAAATATGGAGGAAGTTGTAAACCCATCTAAACCCTTAATCTCTGAATGTAACTCTCCTCCTAAGTCCTCCGTTGTTTCAAGTATAGCTGCACTGGAGAACCACATGAGGATGATTGACTCGACTGTAAGCCTGACCAACTCCTTCAGTATAAAGTCCCTAACAAATGGTTTTAATGACAGCAGCCATCACAACGTTAAATGCTCTTTATCAGAGAAAAAGGTGGAGCATTGCAGCCTAAACAGCCCGAATGTGTCAGAATCCTCCAGTTCACCTCATGTATCAGTGTCTCCCATTCAAAGCAACTCAGAAGGCATGACGATCAAATCACCTGCAGTGAGCAACAACAGGCCAGAATCCCAAGAGCCTTTGGCAGCATCAGTGAAGAGAGAGCAATCTGAGTCTCCTAACTCTGCATCAGCAGCTGCAGTGGCCCAAGAGCTGAGAGGGATACAGGCCAGCAAGCTGTGCGTGAAAGAGGAGACTCCTTATAGTATGTCATTCCAACTGAGCAGAGAAAGAGGTACATTTAGTGTTAAAATGAAAATGCTCATAGCCTACTCTAGTTGTTTGAATAATGTCTCAGTATGATGGGGAAAACCTTATTTCTGCATTCTCATTTCAGCTGCAGGTCAAAGCATTCCCAGCCTGGTTACCAGCACGTCATCAGGCCTGATAAAAACCGAGGTGAATGGTCACAGTCAACCCCACAACCCTTCCGAAGGGCAGCACCCACCATTCAGCATTCACATCCCCCCGGCTTATGCATCCGTTGGCAGCCCAGGAATGACCTCCCTGCTCGGCCCCGCTCCTCCTCGTCGGACACCGAAGCAGCACAACTGCAACGTCTGTGGGAAGAACTTCTCGTCGGCCAGCGCCTTGCAGATCCATGAGCGCACGCACACCGGAGAGAAACCGTTTGTCTGCACCATCTGCGGCAGAGCTTTCACCACGAAAGGCAATCTTAAGGTAGATAAAGGAGGTTTTTCTCCAGGATGTTTTTCTCTTTCTCTCTTTAGATTCAAGCTTTGTTGCCATATTTAATGATAAATATCTGCCTTTTGTAAAGTATTAGATGATCCACTTCCTGGGTCTGTCTTACAGTATGTTAATGCAGGCAGCATATGGCAACAAGATAACCTCCCATGTTCTCTTACATCAATATTCTCTGTGTCTTCACTAACAAACATAGAAACATAGAAAGCAAAGCCAGTTTGTAAATTGTAAGTGTTGTTAAACTTCCTGTTAAAACACAGGTAATTCTGCTTTTATCAAAATGTGTACAAACTTTACGTTACAACATATTTATTCATAATAATACAAGTATACTTTAGCAAAAGTAAGAAAATTAGCAACACTTGAAGTGTTAATGGGCACCTTTCAAAATAAAAGTAGTCTATGCTTAATCCACATAAGATTCAATAGCATTCAATAGTCAGTCATTTCTAATAGGAATTATAATAATTAAGTGCCCCATCTGTCCTATGATGTTTTTTCTCAGTCTTTTCCTCTCCACTAAAATAGATGAATCCCCCCCATCCGCCAACACCAAAAAAATTGTTTGGTTTTTTTTTTTTTGCTTGTTTGCTTTTTTGAATGTCTATAGCATGTCTGCTCTTGACCACAAGTCTCTGCTAGTTGCAATATCTATAGAAAATTTGAAATAATGATAAAGCCATCAGTCATGTGACTTCATCTTTAAAATGGTTTATTGTACATTTTGTCTCTTTTTTTGGCAAATTACCTGCAATCAAAATACAAGTGTAGGGAGGTCAAGAGAGAGAGTCTGTAACCATAACTGTACAAAAGTGTACAAAAAAAGCAATTATGTTTAATGGATAGTGAAAAGGCTACCAGATGTTGCTGGGGGAGGGAGACAAAGCGAGTGTGGAGAAACACAAATGATTTAAAAGGCACGTGATTATTTACACATTATCAGGTGTGTTTTATTAACAAGATATCAATACTTAATTTTTAAATATCACAGTTATCGTCAATACCGGTATATCACGACGACCCAAGCTGCAACTTACAATTATTTTCCCAACTGATTAGTCTGCTGATTATTCTCTCATCAATCAGTTGATTATTTTGTTCACAAAATGTCAGAAATAATTTAAAATGTGCATCACGGTTTCCCAAAGCGACATCTTCAAATTGATTTTTTTTGTCGAGTCATAAGCCCCAACCCGAGGATATTTCAATTTAATGTCATATAAGACAAAGAAGAATAGGGAGGATAAAGCCCCAGTTGAATGTAGTGGGATTAGTGTTCACTGGGACCACTCATGTTACACACGTTTACGTTTCGAAATAAGATCAGTCACCAAATCTAATATCTTGTATGTCATTTTCAGGTTCATATGGGAACTCACATGTGGAACAACGCACCAGCCAGGAGAGGCCGGCGGCTGTCAGTAGAGAACCCCATGGCGCTGCTGGGTGGAGAGGCAGCGAAGTTTGGGGAGATGTTTCAGAAGGACCTGGCAGCTCGAGCGATGAATGTAGACCCTGGATTTTGGAACCGCTATGCGACAGCTATCGCCAACAGCCTGGCCACGAAGAACAACGAGATCTCAGTGATTCAGAACAGGGGCATCTCTCAGCTTCACCCTCTGACTGCAGGCATGGACAGAGTGAGCACTGCAGGAAGTCCAATAACCAGTCTAACCAAGGCAGGCATGGACCTGGGAAATAATAGGCATTTTTCAATGCTGATTGATGACAGCAAAGAAATTGGAATCAACTGAAAATAAAAAAGATGAATGGAGACGTAATACTTATGCAATCTATTATGGACATTAAAATATTTGTAAAACATCTTGTTTGTTCTTATGTATTATATATAGACTTGAAAAAGAACTTTTTATCAATTGAGAGAGAATAGTAGGGAATTCACATTTTGCTATTTTACTTTGCTGTCATTTGTGAATGTTTTTTTTTTCTATACATTAAAGAAGTTGTTTAACTTGTACCTGAGAGAATTCCTAAGGTGCTCAGACATATGGTTGCTCTGAAGAAGGGAACGATATGTTCAAATCAATAATGCAAAGAGTCTGTTATCTCCTCTGGACAGCTGCCCAGGCTGCTAGCTGGTGCAAAGCACAAACCATGCCCGTACATACCCACAATTACCAATTGCAATGAGCTATTGTCAATGTTATGATGAGAAATTGTCATTCTTAAACAACAGTTGGACCGAATAAAAACTAGAACAAACAGTCTGTATGTTCACTTCACAACCTCACTGTATAAAAAAGGAGAAGAGCTTACTAATTTCACACAGTGCTTGATAGAAATTACATCAAAGTAAAAAGTTACACATAAACTGTGCTCTTTCATTTCATGCTTCAATTCATGCTTCTCCATAACTTCTTTTGGCAGCTTTACCTCTCTTTTGAATTCATGCATTAAGTACGTAAGTAAGCATTTTTCCCCTGCAAACACAATTTCTGGATAATGGTAAACATGACGGGTCAAGCGTGTGCAGATGTGCATTCATACACAAAATGCATATGTCAACACGTCTTTGTGTCTTCTTTATCTTTTTTTGGTTCTTCTTGTAGGCCTGCAGCAAAACTGCACCCTTCTCAGTAATAATAATAATAATAATAATAATAATAATAATAATGACAAACTTAAGAATATAGGCTATATGTCCAGGGTGTATATATGGTGCAATCACTTTTCAGTTTGCACAAGCATAAATTAGCCTAGTTCTGATTAAATTTGTGTTTTTTTAATTCATCTTTTTTAATCATCGCTTTCTGATATTAATAAACTTCATGATATAACTGATGCACATCCTGCTGCATATCGGCACTATGAGCCATATGAATACAGACAGGTACTTTTCAAAGACTGCCTCATCCTTTATTGGGAGCACCATCATGAAGTGGAAGTTTTTCAGATCCAGATTTCCTCGGAAATGGGCGTTGCAGATTATTTTGGGAAAAACACACCAATTTAAAACTTATTAAGCTGATATATCTTAAATATTATCTGGCAATTCAATGAAAAATAAACAAGTGGTTAGCGTTGGGCTTGTTGATAAGAATAAGGGTGGGTTTAGGGAGGACTTTTTAGGGAGGATTTAACTTTTCTAACTATATGGAAAAACAGTCAAGGGTCACTTATGAGCTTTTGCGGAGCTTTCGACCGCATCCCACGGTCCTTATCATCATTTGCCCTAAATACATGTTCTTCGGATCACTCATGTTTCATTCCGGACCCTCGGAAAGCGGAAATTCCCTATAGTTGCATTCAATAAGGCCCGCTTTTCGTAAGTAGACACATTCTTTGTTAGTTTAAATTAGTTCAAAAAATTCAATGCCCACGCACTACGTTGTGCTGCACCAACAGAATAACGTAAAATGGAAAATACGCGAAAAATACGAATCTCTCCAGTCTTATATCTCGCATTTCAGTGCTTCTACTTTTCCGCACAGTAAGTGAACGCAGCATAAGTCCCAAGCGTTTTTTTAACGTGGCGTCAGAATGTGTACTGCCCAGCCAAGATGGCTGACAGCATCCCGTTAAATCCGGTGCGGAAGAACTCGAAGAGAATCCCGTATTACAACTCAGCCAGACTTTCAAGGTATGGAGAGGCTAGTGGGCCTATTGTTTCAGTCGCGTACTAAAGAAAGAGCTGTTTGTCTGACATGTTCACATTTAGCTGTCTCGCCCGCTCCCGGGGTCCGTGTTTGTGTTCCGGTCGTGGCTGTTAGCTTGTACAGCTAGCACCGCTTCTGACAGCCCCTTCGCATTTTCTCCGTTTGACAGCTGCTTCGTTTGCTCACACCATCATTCATAAAGCTAAAAAAACCATCTCATATTCATTCTGCCTTTACTAGGCCAATACCACAAACTCTATAACGTCCTAGTGTGCGTTATGTAGTGATAGTTATCTGTTGACCACTGCATCGCTCAGTCCCCTCCTGGCATTTAATTTAAAGTCACATGATAGCTCCTCTGCGTTAAACAAGTTCGTCACATGTTATGAAAGTGTTGTTGGTTACTGTAGCATTCATTTACCAGCTTGTTCATTTTTCAGACTGGACGAGGCTGAGCTATAAAAGCCCTCAGGGTCAGGAATGGACAGGAAGTGAACTAGTCGCATGACCAGGTACCTTTAGACCAAGTGGTAGGATGTTACTGAATGTTTACACAGTTTGAGTATGTGTAATTGGTAGCCCATTACAATGTACATACCGAAATTGGCTCTGCATATAAGCAGTTCCTGTTGAGTTGCGATGGTGTTTATTTACCTCACATTCAAATTTAGATCACAAGAGAAACACCTGCCTTTCTGTTTTCCCTTCTTTTGGTTTCAGTAATAAAATTCATGTGACAGTTTATTGGGCCATGTGAGTAATATGTCTGACCTCACAATGCAGATCACACTGCTGGGTCAGCTACAGAGCAGAGATCCTGAAGCTGGTAAAGCCACACTACTAAAGCTTTTCCACCGACACAGGAAGCAATTGTTGGCAACGATGCCTGTGCTGCACCGGAGAGCCAGCAAACCTTTTTTACAAACCAGCCCACGTCTCTACTAGATTTAGAGTTGAATTATTATGTAATCGGGTGTGGGAGTTCTATAGCAAGGAACACTATGGCTATTAATGTACCTTGTTGGCAAGCCCCAGCAGTGTGTAAACACACCACAAAACAGTGATGAGAAGTTGGTGGTTGCCTCAAGCACAGTGGTTGCTGAAGTCAGAGATTCAAGAGTTGATTTGCAGGTTTTGAGCCAAATCCAGCAGGTTCTTGCTCTATCTAACACCCATTAAGTATTCAATATGTGTAATCCCTTCAGTCTACAGGGCTTGTCTTTTTAAAAATTCCACTTGTTGTAGAGACTCTCCTCATATTTAGGTGTAGCTCTTAGCTTTTCTTTACAAACTATCGGTTGACCTTTCTTCTGTCTTGATACCTGCTAAGTAAAACTATCCTGTTTTCTCTCATACAAAATAGTTTTGCTCTAACCTTTTTTTTTCATTACTTTTTATTAGGTTGTCTTTTAAAGAACAGGCATAAGTGCCAAGCGGACATAAAAACACACTTAAGCTAATCTACATATACACACATGTATACGCATACACACATACATATATACACACATGTGTATAAACACGCACTTGTACAAATGTACACATTCTAATCAACCTATATTGATTCTGCACTTAGAGGAAAGGGAAATTATTTTAGATTTGGAAATATGCCCATAATACATTGCTACTATACAAAAGTCAGGCCTTATATTTGACACGTGGGTAAGTCATTTTTACCTATTTTCATTAAAAATATCAATTTGGGTTTTTAGTTTAAATGTAATTCCCCCCATCATGTACATATTATAGACTAAGTAGATCCACTTGTTTTAGCTATTTTCTCGTCAAAGCAATTTTACATGCCGCTAAGAACACCCTTAACAAGTATGTATCTTGCTTTGCAACGTGATGCTCCTCTAGATCACTGAGGTACATTATTTTCAATTTCAATTTAAAAACTGCTTCCAGGTCACTGTGTACACTCCTAAAAATGGAGACACAGAGGGGCAATTCCAGAAAATGTGGAAATGGTTTGCCACTGTGCTTCCAGAGGCTCTCCAGCAGGCAGTCTGATTAGAATAGTTAGTCTTATAGTTTTGCGCTAATCGTAAGCCATTTTCCTCTCTCCTTTCTGCTCGCTATCTTTCTAATTGCAGTGCTTTTCACTTTTCAGTTTATATGGTGACAACATAAACCCACTCTCAACATCATCTACTTCTTGGTTCTGCACTAGCTGAAATAGGGCTTGGAATGGAGCCAGTTTTACATGCTGTAATCCATCATTTTGTGGCAGATACACTTTTAGCAAATTTAGATTCAGTTAAAAATAACCATTATCTGCATCTTTATGGTGGAAATAACATTAACATTGACCTTCAAGACCACCTTATACTCATGTTTTCACTGTTCACATCTTGTTTGTCTAGTTTAGCAGAATTTGTCACTGTAAGTTGCCTTGCATTGAGTGTGTTAATGTTCTTTGTGCATGTACGTACTATACCGTAAGACTCTATGAATGTATGTTGTGTTGTGTGTGATGTCATGTGCTAGATTAAATCACTTGATCCTCCCATTCTCAGCAAACTCACACCCTCCCACATGGAACTCATACTGTCAGAGCTGCGTGACTTTCAGAGTTTTAAGCTATATTCTCTGCTGTAAAAGTTACTCCGCCAAAATTTTTTAAAAAGCACTCTGTCATTACAGATATATTTATATGGGCAAATAAAACTGTTAGGATTTGAAATAAAGGTTTCACAGACTGTTTCTCAAATCAGATGGAGGATTAAATGCTCCAAATTTAGAATTGAATCATCTCATCACCCAAATATTTTATTTGTACCACATAGTCAGATGTAAAAAAAAAAAAAAAAAAAAAGGTTATTGCCTGCAAATGTTTTCATGTTTTGGTGCTTTTACAGAATTTTATGATAATCAAACTTTCAAAAAAAAAAAAAAAAACAGTATCTGTAATAAACTTTTGAAAGAAGGACTTGGAGAGACCAAACATCTGGGGAGAGGGAATGCTTGAATTCAACAGCGTTATTACAGTTAATAATAAGATTAATTTGTGGTTAGTCCATTATAAATATTGTAAGATAATCAGACTTCATTACTTATTTTAATGTTTGCATTGCTGACAAGATTAGAGATCTGGGCACAGATTCAGAATTACTCAACAAAATGCACTGTATAAATATTACAGTTGTACAGCAGGGATCTGCGTTGTAAATAGCACTACAGACCGAGTATTGCCTGCTTTCTGGGATTGTTGTGAAAAGTTATTGGGCTGTGGTTTGGCTGGGGTCAAACTTTCATATTTCAGGCTAAACCACATGATGTAGTGAAATAATGAAATGTGTTTAAGAAAAGTAAGAGCTGGGAATCCTCAAACCATCCAGTATTTGCCCCAAGTAATAGTGGTGCAGAGCCTTACTGAAGGTGTTTCTCACAGTCCACACTGGATAACACTGTGCAAGGATAGATAGCAAGCTGTTTTAGGACTGAAAGTCCTCTTGATTACTGGGGTATCATTATCTCTGGTTCTTGAACTTAAATTGCAGGAGTTGTCAGCTGTAACAGAAAATCAGGTTGCACCAGTTTCTGTAAGTTTTGCTTTGGCATGTTGAGCAGCTCTGGAGGGCCGTATCACTGAGAACTAAGATCAGAATGCCGCTGATGTTAGTTTTATGTTTGTTCACATGTTCATTTTCTTTTTTTAAATACAAGACATCCATTCAAGTGCAGCAGAGTGACCCGAGTTTTCGAAATTTAGATTTTCTTTTGGGCAGCCTACCCAGTAGATACCCAATAGATCTGCCACCACCCAAAAATATTTTGTGTATTTATTATATTTTCCTTTTAAGAAGTCTGAAAAATGAAATTTAATGTGCATATAGTACTGATTGAATAAAATGGAAAAGTAAGTTAAAATCACAAATCAGCTTGTGAATGTATGGATGTTCTGCAGTCAGCTTTCAAGTGTTGGATGTTAAAGCTCCCAGCCATAAAGAACTAACCTGTGAGAAACTCTGTATTCACAGGGCAGTACAACACTTAAGTACAAAATCTACAATGTATATATGTGCACCGCTGTTGTTTAGTTAATTATACTTCATTCACAGCTGGGGTGTTACTTTTATCATCAGTCTCTGGCTTTTGTCATATTCACACTCTGTGTGCAGAAAACACAGAAACTTTCATCAGCAAATATTCAGCCAGTCTCAACACCTGCAGTCACCAGCTTCTTTGACTCTAACACCAGGCCTAACAAAAGCAAGAGAAGTGATGTGGCTTAGAAATAAATGTTCCCCAGTTGTGCATGGTTTTATTTCTGTGTGTTGGAGTGGGTTTTTCCATTCAACAAGTGATTGCTGGTAATGAAAATGATCAGCAACTGTATACAGATACTAGATTTGAAATACTTGGTACTATTTTGGATCTGAAGGTCTTCTAATGTTGTCTATTTAATATGTATCAGGTATGAATGTTGAAGTTTTGGTGTCTAAAATGTTGCATTGTGCTGGATCAGTGTAATCAATTTTGACAGCAGTGATATAGGCAGCTTCTATCACATCCTATTAACACCTTTAGGGATTTGGAATTGGTAAGATTTTATTGATACCATTGCCGTTATGAATCTGCTTATCAGTCCAGGTCTTTATTGATTCCATTATTGATTCCAAATTAAATACTTGCGTGAAAAGCAGGAGGCTAACATAGGTTTTTAGTATAAAAGCAATTGGTTTATTATCTCTGAGTCTGAACACAGTTTAGATGAAATGAGAGAATGATAGTAAAGAGGCAGCAACACTACATGCCTATTTACTATCATTCTGATGTTTCCTGTCATCACCTGCACCAAGTTGTGCATGGGACATGTGCTTTTGAATGACATGAGCAAATATTTGTAAAGTATACATTTTCATTTAGGTTTTCTTAGTCAAAGAAAAAATGTGCTAAGCGTGCCTGCATGGCGTTAACCCTAACCGTAAAGGATGCGCTGCTCAGTTGGGAAGAAGTGGCTCTCGTGTAGAGTTTGAACTTCACAGCATTGCTGAAATGGCATAGAGAGGTGTTTGAGCATATTGCTGCTGTTATCACTCTTGCTTGAAAATATCACTTTACAGACATTACAAGCAATGCTGTTGTCATCTTTCTCTGTGAAATGAAGCCACACTTTGGACTGTTTCCTACTCTCTTTCATGACACCTTCTTGCAAGTCTCTAGCAGCATGTATGCATGAGTTTGAATCATTGTTTTGCAATATGTAACTGTCAGAAAAACATGCCCGCATTGGTCAAACGAATTGATAAGCTTGAGGGCACACTATTCCAATTCCAGTATGAAGACCTGCTTGGCATTTGTTGAATGAGCGTTTGATGTGTGGTTGTGCATGCAGAAGTACACCAGGTGTAAATACGGTTATTGGTATTTTGAAAGCAGGTAAAAATAGCATAGCCTCAGCTACATGCCAGCAGAATGGAAAATGGCCTGACTTTATAGTAACCACGAAAGACGCTCTTCTTATAGTAAACCTGATATCCCCTTTGCTACCCGATACTACAGCAGGCTATCCGTCACATTAAGCTGTGTGTCAATAGATAGACCTTTATTTATTATTGACTCAAATATTAACATATTACGAAAGATTTTCATTCAAGGTTTTATGCTCAGTTAGGTGCATCTTTGTTTTTCATTCTGAATTTATTGTGGTTTGTGTGTAGTTTGCATCATCTCTATAGGTGCTTCTATAGTATTGTGGTGTGTGCTGTCAGTGTGCAGCTAGAGTTGGTTTATGGTGACTTAGCCAGTATTGTAAGTTCCTCTAGGTTTTTCCTGTCAGGCCTCAGACTGCCTTAATTCTGTAAAGAGGCCTCATGAATAAGACATTATGTGCTTCTCAAGAGTGTTTCCAGTGTTTCTTTATAATGTGAATGGGCGATGAACTCTACAGTACTTAGTCATGGAGGAACTGAGCCAACTGGGCTAACTAGCTTTAATCTTGGCTTTTCTTTAGTCTTTTGCACATCTGCTGCTGTATGGAGCAGTCTGTCATTCTTCAGTACTGACAGTCCGCTGACTACAAAATGTCCAAAGTTTGGCCACATAGCCTGTACATAGATAGTGGATAATTCAACATCTATGTGGATTAAAAGAGGAGCTTATTGTAATGAGTAGAATATATATATCTTTTTGGATTAAATGTTATTTTCACCCCAAGTGAAATATTGTGACATCTAAAAAGTACAAGCCTGCAATTGCACTGTGACACAAAATGTTATCATCCTTGATTCACAATAGCAGGTCCCTTTTGGGAACAGTGTGTCACATATCCATGTTCAGTTTCTTTATATCTCTCTGTAATATGTCCTTCTCACAGATACTCTTTAGAAGATGAGCCCTCCAACCTGGATGAAATGCCTCTCATGATGTCTGAAGAAGGCTTTGAGAACGATGAGAGCGACTACCAGACGCTGCCCCGGGCCAGGGTCAACCAGAGACAGAGAGGCCTCGGCTGGTTCCTCCTTGGAGGGTGGAAAGTTCTCTGTGGCAGGTATTTGTACAGCATTGCATTATTGTTATTTATGTGTTTTTATTACGACTAATGACTTATGTTGGCTATGGTTATGACTCAAAGTAATGCGGTACGGATACTGTATAGGCTCGTTTCCACTGAAGAAGTTCCTGGTACTATTTGGGGGACAGGAACTACTACAGGAACATCTTCTCGCTCGGCCCTCTCAACCGCCGTGTCTCCACTGAGAGAGCGGAGCACGACGAAGGTTCCTGTAAAGTTACGGGCTCTGGATGTGACGTAATTGTTACGTGACCATTTTGACCGGGGCGACGTAGGGACGCCGTTAGCCAGTAGCAGTGTCTGTAATAACTCACTAAATGGCCCGTGAAAAAAATATTTTTTTCCAGCGGATGTCTTAGTTACAACATGATTGAGCTAACTGGAGTAGTTTCATGTTGTATCCGACAACGGGAGGCTTTTAACAGATGACGTCCTGATGTTAGCTTTGCTGCTGCTTTTAGCTATCCCTGTCAGCTGATGCTTTCTAGACATCGTGATTTCCCAAAACTGAATAAATACCACACATAGCAACACAAAACTGCTTTGCTAGCTCAATCATGTTGTAACTAAAAATCCGCTGGAAAAAACATTTTTTTCACGGGCCATTTAGTGAGTGTTTTTTTACATGGCGACGGAAGCTATATGAACGAGCTAACCCTCGTCTGCTGAGTTTTAAAAATGCTGGCTATTTTGTTGCTTTCTGTTCTCGTCACATCCCGCCTTGAGTATATCCAATCAGCACCAAGTAATCCCCAAGCCCCAGCCAGGAGTCTTTCGGGGCCGTTCTAAGTACCTACTCCGAGGCAGGGACTTGTTTAGCCCCTGTAAAAGTTCCGGAACTCTGTCCTTCGGGGGTGGTTCCTGAGGTGGAGACACGCACCAACGGCCCCGGCCCCATAAAATTACCCCGAAGTTCTTGCGGTGGAAATGGGCCTTATGTGTCGCCTCACATCAAAGCTCTCTGTCCACACACTGAACATGCACTTTTGTATGTAAACAAACCACATACTTATTAGCTGTGTGCTCAAGGTAACCATTTTAAGATGGGTGAGTAGGCTACTTACCGTCTTCCTGCATTTGTTGTTTTTAAACAGAAAACACAGGTTTTATATTGTGAGATTTACTGGGAATGACATACAGTATAGCCAACAGTGAATAAATTGTTATTAGCAATGATCATTTACCTTGATAAGGCTACTTAAGTTAACCAGAAACTTTCAACACCGGGGCAATATCTCTATAGATAGCTGCTACCTTATTTAGGTTTTTGTAGTGAAATTAGCATGTACATGAACTCCTGCCAGGAACAAAATGTCCATTTATTTGGTAGTCAATGATTTGTGTGATATGTCCACATACCGAGCTGCAGAGCACAGGAGAGAAGAGACAGGTGAAGTGAATGTGAACTTGTTATGTTACAATAAAAGCAAATGCCATAGGCTTAAGCTAATTATGGTTACTAGCACAAAACAATAGTTTTGTCTATGAATCTTGACACTCATTGCTCAGCCAAATTTGAATGCTATGTTAATGCCAAAGCCATGTTTCATGTGTGTTAGTGGACTCTGTTTAATCGATCAGAATAATCATGATCATGATGAAACGTGTGATTATATGCCCAAAGGAATTATTTGGGTTTGCAGTAATATTAGGCTGTGTTTGAGCATTGAAAAGTCAAATATGATTTGAATATTAAAAATGAGAACAAATAAAGTTTCAATGGAATTATAGAGGAAGATTGACAGCTGTAAATTTTAAACTACTTGTACAAGATTTAATTAAGAACCTGTCTGTAACTAGTCTCGCCACATTCAGAGATCTCTGCCTTCTGATAGTCTGGGGACACTCCTTTCTAAAGTGTGTTTAACACACCCGCGAAAACAGCCGGCAACAAAGCAACGCATCTTACATTTTTGAAAGTGTAACAGATCTTTAAACATAAAGGCAGCAGGCTGTCAGTAAAAATTTTATTGTAGAATTGATGTTAATCATTGTCCAAGAATGGTTGTGAGTTCAGGTACCTTCCAAGAAAAGTACACATAAATATGCTGCCTTAAAACCTCATTAATTCCTCTGCCGTGCTGCAAAACCACATCATTTTTTATCTGTGATTGGAGTTATTGTACTTCTGTTTGGACCTTTAACCACTCTGAAAGTTGGCAGTGTTTTGTCATTCTGTAAATGTATGTGTAATGTATAATGTCAGTAGGTATGCTCGTGATGATCAGTTTGGATTTCAAACGCACCGGTAGTTGTGCATGAAGTGCAAAGAGAGGATAAGGGCATGTTTTTGGTCGAGTTCCTCGATGCGCACCATCAGTCCAAAAAGATTTTCAGGTCAAACAGAACGGCACGGTTTATCCAGCTAATGATTAATTTGACAGGTTTTGCCCTCTAAAGATGCTCCTTTAGAGAGGAGTGTTTGTTTATGCCAGAACAAAAAAGTGTAACATTTCTAAACAAATGTTTGTGCAGCACTTCAGTGCCCAAAAAAGTAACATTTACCAATGGAGGAATTTCATAGAATATTCTGTTTTCTGTGCCGTTTTGTTGTCGGTGGTGCATCTCCAGTTGAAGCTGCATATTGATCCCCCCTCCCCATCCCCCCACTAATGAACAAATCGGATTTTTCACAGCTGACCAGTTTGATGCTTTCCAGTAATTTTATGTGTGCTTAGTGTGGGATTATAAAACACAAATAATTCACACTGAATAAGCTCTGACTGTTCAAATGGCATATTATTTGAATAGCATTCATTTGCTCAAATAATCGCTCTTATGAAACTGGACTCAGAGTGCACAGAGACAGGGAACATGGAGGCCAATACAAACAAGACTTTTTACCAAAGTTGATTTATTTAGTTTAATGTTTTGCCAACTTGCTTAAAAAGTGGAAAAGCCAAGTCAATCAGCATGACGGTATACACTGACACTCCCCTCTTTCCCCCCCAGGTGCCAGTTTAGGTCATGCTCACATCAAGCTGCTCTCATTGTAATTTACCCCCACAATACACCTCTGTTTGCATTTGATATCAGATATGCTAGATAAGCCCCAGTGTAGTCATTAGCAGGTTGATAGAAAGTCAAATACTATTTAAAAAGTAAATGTCAATCTATCATCCATCTCTTCTCTCTAATCTCCTCTTAGAACTTTGATGATATCATAATAATAACATAGGTACATATGAAATAGCTGGTCTTTGCATGTCTGAAAGAGTCAACATGAGGTAAAACAAATGTGTATCATATTCTGTCACACAGTATATTTGTCTGCACATATAGCCTCTCTGGTTCTTAAGGTTTACCAGGTGTTTTGCTCTTATAGTGCTTGACTCCCACAGCACTGGCAAGAGAACTTCCTCTTGGAGAGATACTAATCTTTTCAATGATTGAAAGCTCTGAAAGAAAAGAACTCCCTCATAAGACTGTGTCAAAAGAAGCCTTGAAGACCTAATTAATACTAACACCTGAAAAAAAAACACAAATGTAAAATCTAGAGCATGATTCTGAAGATGTAATTAGCTGCCAAATAATTTTTTGTTAACCTAATTTGACCCCTGGCTGCGCTACATTATCAATTGTTCATTAGTCTTTCTCCCTCTTTTCAATATTTCACAATCCAGAAGCCAGAAGTTGTCCTCCCAGTGACAAGACTCTGTTTACTGTCAAAATGAAATGGAAAGCCTGTTGAAGAAACAAAACAACTTTTTAATATTTAAACATAAAATCCAGGTGAAAATAAGTTTCAAGCAATCTCCCCCTTATTAAAAAGATCTCTGTATTTTCCCATTTTTATTAGAATTTCAACCAAACACTTGATAGCATTCTAATTTGTGCAGTGGGCCTCTTCTTCCCTTTTTTAATGAACTTGTACTTATGTGGATGTGGCCATAGTAGCATGTGTTTGGTGCAATGTGTTTACACTGAATCATTTCAACGGCTTACCTCCTCAGCTGCTGTGATTGCCTGGCCCATATATGTCGGAGGAAGAAGGAGCTGAAGGCCAGGACGGTTTGGCTTGGCTGTCCGGAGAAATGTGAAGAGAAGTACCCCAAAAACGCCATCAAAAACCAGAAGTACAACATCTTCACCTTTGTGCCTGGGGTGAGTTGGATTTCAGAGAAAAAAACGAGATCTACATCCTGTGTTAAGTTAACTGTCGTTCCTTATGTAACACGATTCACATTTCATGCTCTGATCTTTGCTCCAAACAGAGAAGTTATGGCCTTTTTTTAAGTCAGCGTTTCCACTGTTATTAACTTTTAGAGTCCCCACAGTGGCAAGTCTTCCTTCCTGTTGAAATATGTAGATTTTTTCCACAGATTATCAGTATTTAAAGCACAGTAGCATGCTCTGGGTCTAATTGTTAACTGTTCTGTCATTAAGTTAAGGGTTTACACTGTAGGGGACATTACAGATCCATCAGACTTACTTATTAAAAACCAAATGACTCCATGATTAAGAGGAGCGCCTTTGGCCCGGGCCATAAAATGTCAACTGTCTGTTGGAGACGCAGATATTCTCATCGATGGTGAACAAAACGGCTCTGTTTTTCTCCCTGTGCGTTGAATTATTAAATACACACAAATTGAGTTTAGCAGTGTGCATTTTTCCCTAAAGGTCAAGGGGTTCATTAACTGTCGAGCACCGTCCATTGATCCCATTGTCTCTGATAATCTGTGATGAGACGCAAGACTCTCATTATAGCAAACATTATTCAAAATTTGACCTTAGATGAAGAGAATACTAAGGGATCCCTGTTGATGGATAGCCCATTAGCAAAGAGCTCTCAGTAAGTCACAGGTGGCACTTTGGTATGTGTGATTTAAGAAAGTTGGCCTGTTTTCCTTGTTCATTCATTATTGTGGTTATCCGTCCTGTTTGTCTTGTGCTGTGTGTTTGTTCTGCAAAGCGTAGGCATCAACCAACATGAAATCCTTTCCCTGTGTTCCATTTGAAACAGAAGTTCTCAAAGTGTCAGAGTTTCCATTAGGTTAATGTAAAGTTAACAGCATTAACATGTATCTTATTCCACCTTGGAACACGTACAGTAACCCATCCCGCCTGCTTTGTTGTTGCTACATCCACTTTGTCTTCTTTTGGCAGCTGTTGTTGTCTTTGACTCACCTTGCTGACATGTTCGCTCACCTCGCTGAATCCCTGTCCTCTGCTTCCCTCTCAGGTTCTCTACCAGCAGTTCAAGTTCTTCCTCAATCTCTACTTTCTGGTGGTGGCCTGTTCCCAGTTTGTGCCGTCACTGAAGATCGGATATTTGTACACGTACTGGGCACCTCTGGTAAATGCATTTCAGTTTTTACACTGTTCTGTTCTCAAGAATATTTCTATTGAATTTTAGAAGTGTACAATATATACACAGGAAATTGTAGAGTGCACAACAGATATTTCAGATAAAGACAGCTCATTGTAATACAGGAGCACAACATGACATCTTGGCCCAATCATCCCTCATCCCTAACAGCCTCATCTACAAGCTTGAGTTCCGTATGTTAAAGGGTACATTGTCCCTTGAGTAATAATTATCTTATGCTACCCTGCCCATTCTTTATCTTCCATTTCCAGCGCAGTTGTTTTCGTTCTTCTGGTTTAGCGATAGCTTCACTAGTTGGCCATCTATGACATCCCAAATGCAGTATCTTCTAAAAAATGACAGCTAAAAGGGTTTTGACAGGCGTAACTGTTAACAGATCAAGCTAACCACCTGATTTCCAGGCATTAGTTGTTCTGTGTCATGTACAGAATCCTGATTTCTTTGTCATCGAAATCAGCGGTTTCAAGATAAATATACACTACTGTTACAGCCCCCATCCAGCTAACAGTAGCTCTCCTGTTAGCCTGTTGCTTAACAGTAACACCAAGCACTGTAGCCTAGCTAGAGCCACCTTGCTAGCATTAGATAAGCCTGCGTTCATGTTAATTATAGCAGCTAGCTATAGAGCATCATCATCATCATCATCAACATCTATATTAGTGTTCAACATTAACATTTTTTTTGCTGATAGTGAGAATAATTGCATAATCACTGTTGACATGTGCTTTTATATGCTGACCGGCTAGTCTCATGCAGCCAGCAGCTCCCAAAACTTTGGCACAAATTTCTTTTTTAATGTTTGGATAAAGTGATCACATTTTGGGAATCAACATGGCTACTTACTCGACTGACCATTGATGAATTTAAGGGCATCATAAAGAATGTGGTGACGAGACATGTGCTTGTTTTTCTTCAGAGGCCACTATGTTTGAATAGTTTTTGTTTTATTGTGGATTTTGTATTATATGTTGTATTTGTTGCATTTGAAATGTGTTTTGATTGGCTGCTACCTTGGCCAGTTCTCTCTTGTAAAGAGATTTTCAGTCTCAATGGGACTTCCTGGTTAAATAAAGGTTTAATACAAAATAAAAAGTAAGAGTGTAAACTCACGCAATGGGGGAGGCCCGAAGTTCAGGCAAGAATGAGGTGAATCAGGAAGTGCTGGAAGTTGGGTTTTATATTAAGAAAAGGAAGAAAGGAAAATTAATAAATAAATGAATAAATATGAAAAGGTTTACACATTGCTAAATTTATACAGATTGTATTATCAACAGAATTTCACAGTAAGACAAAAGGAGAGTGAAAAATTAGTTTGACTGAAGGTTCTGAAAGTATACCAGGAAATGTCCCCAGACCGTTTCAGTTATAGACTGAGTACCAGATTTCGTCAAGGTTTAGACAGAACATAATGTCCCTGAGCGATTAAGCGTGGTTGGGCAGGGCAGCATCTCTCCATCTTAGTAATACTGCATGTCTGGCCAAAAGAGGGGCGAAGGACAGTGTGCAGTGTTTCATTGGAGTCAGGTAAACGTCTCTCCAGTGGTGCCAAAAAAGGACAACCAGAGGGTTGGGTTCTAGGTCAACTTTAGGATTGACTATAGAGTTTGGAAAATGTTTCTCCAGTATTTTTACAGGATACATCCAAGATGTTGCTAAGGGACACCTCACCCATTTTACATTTGTCTAAGCAGGGATACACCCGTAATTGTTCTTTCAGACAGTCTTTGTTGTGAGTAACAGTCATCAACATGAAACAAAAGCCAGATAGTGTTAGATTAATTGCCAAGCATTTTCACAATCTATGTGTTCAGGTTGCAGCATTTAAATGTAAGTATTTGGTGCTTTTGTCTTTTTTATTTATTTGTAAATTGAATATTGTTGAGTTTTGAACTGTCGGTCAGACAATACAAGTAATTTGAAGACATAACCTTTGACTTACAGAAACTGTGACATGCCTTTTTGTCACTACTTTTGTTGCACTTTGTAGGCTAAAGAATTCATTGATTGATAAAGAAGAAAATCTGCAGATTTATTAATAATAAGATTATGAAAAAAATCGTTACCTGCAGACCCTAAAGATAGATAAAAATAGATCACTTATGTTTTAACCCGTACAGTTTGAATTAAATTTACAGGTTCTGGCTTTGTTATCCTAACGAGTAAGCTGTTTAAAATTGTTTTTAAAGAACTTTATAACATCTCACAGAGTTTTCAGTGTCAATTCTGTTCTCAGTTTGATTTGATTTTTAGTAAGAGTTTATAAACTAAGACTTAAACCTGTCATACGTGTAAAAGTCAGCTTTTTATGTTATGTTTATGCATTCTGGTAATAATGAAGCTTTGTTAAATTATCATGTTGTGATTGATCTGTGTCTTTTGTCACTCAGGGTTTTGTCTTAGCCGTTACAATGGTGCGAGAGGCTGTGGACGAAGTGCGACGATTCCAACGGGACAAAGAGATGAACTCTCAACTCTACAGCAAGCTCACAGTGAGAGGTTAGTGAGAGGACCGAGAGTAATCTATCCGTACTCCTCATGCCTGTAACTGTTTGCTGACATTATGATAACGGATATTCCAGCGTATAGTCAAGCTCTCCCCATGCAATTAAGAGACGGCACTCCACTGGATCTACACTTGTAACAGAAGTCATTCTTCTTGCTGTAATTGCATTGATTTTTTTTTCTCTCAGTTTCTCAAGACCGTATGATCTAAGATCTGTCCCTGTGTTGAATGTGTGGTAAAATCCCTTGTGTGGTATCTGTGACCATGGCTGAGGATGTAGCTCTCACACTCTCCGTGCGCCCATGTGCATGTACGCAGTTATGTGTGCTTGTGAGCGCAGAAGAAGAAGGGTCCAGGCGGATATTGAGGCAGTATAATTGAGAGTGACCCTATGTGCCGTTGTTTTTGTCTATGCCTCTGACCAGAGATGAAAACAGAGGGGTGTTAAATTATCAAGCTGGAGGTAATCAATCTCTGAGACGGTGAGAGAGAAAGGAGAAAGCAGTAGCAAAAAGTGGGTTGTGGTTTTAAGAGTCAGCGTCATTGTAAAGTGCCAGAAATCAATATCTGCATTTTATTTCATAAAGCTATTTAAAAATTCACAGCATATCTCAAAATTAAGAGACTCATTTTCATGTGAAGTGACATCTGTTGTCTTTCAGTAGTTTCTTCATTCAATCTGTCTTTATCCTCAGGTAAAATTCAAGTGAAGAGTTCAGACATACAAGTTGGGGACTTGATCATCGTTGACAAGGTAAATCTTTAGTGCTTCCTTAATATTTATCTGCATGCACACATTTCAAAGGATCAGTTTTGGGCAGTTTTCTGCTACAAATTTTACTATCTCTAATAGTTTTATGTATGAATAGCTGTTGTGTGCACCCAGTTTAAGTTATTGATAACAAGAGTTCAGTTTAATTCAGAGTATATCAGAATCAGCTTTATCTCCTTAGTATGTGTGCACATTAGAGCTGCAACAATTAGCCGATTAATCACTTAGTGTATATAGAAGCACTTTGTCATGACATTCTTATACTTTGATACTAAATGATACTTAAGTATTTTGTTTTAATGTTCTTTAAATCTCTGTTTTACTATGATGTCCTGTTTTGTAATGCTAAAATTCCCATCTCCAGTTAATTGAGAAACCTTGAACCTTGAACCTATTTGATTGAAAAAAAGTTAATCGCCTATTTTAATTATTTATTAATCATTTTCATTTCATTTTTCAAGCAGGTTCTAGCTTCTTAAATGCGAAAATTTGCTCTTCTTTGTCAATTATGATAGTAAATTAAGAATCTGAGGGTTTTGGACTATTGCTCTTGACAATTGAGGCAAGCTGAATACGTTACTTTAGGCTCCAGGAAATTGTGTGGAACATTTTTCACAATTTTTTGACATTTTATGTACTATATGATTTATTGTGAAAACAATCTGCAGATTAATTGATAATGAAATGTTGCTCTCAATGTACATACAGAGTGTTTACATTTTGCTGAACCTTAATCACGATGTTGCTAATGCAGTGTGGTTTAGACAAGGCTGGTGACAGTTGCTTTCGAGGTAGCAGTTTTGCTACATAAAAATCAGGTTTTGCTTTTAACTTTCGCATTTCTGGTATTGAAATGTGATGACACTACCGCATTCTAATGCAAGTTACCCAGCACAAAAAAGTTAATGAATGTTTTACAGACTTTCGTCACTTAAGAATTAATACTGAATTGCATCGCTAGATTCTCATGTTTGAGTTAATTGAATTTTTAGGGATAGGATGATACTTTTTCATCATTGATTGCAATAAAAAAGAAGATCATTGTGAATTTCCATTTTCAGGATAGTCGTGTCCAGCAACACCCAAAGAGACTGCTGGGCAGCCAGCTATTAAAGAGACTCTGCAAATACAGGCTGCATACACACCAACTTTAAAAAAATGCAAAAAATCTAAATCAGCCATCAGCATTTTTCATATAAAAAAATATGATGCCATTTCAAATAGTTAAAAAATATTTTCTAAGATTATGTAATTTTTCATTGAAAAGGATGCCCACTAAAAAAAAGATGTATATCCTCCTTGTGATGCAGTAAAAATACTTGTTTCTTAACAAAATGCAAGATAGAGTGATTCCAGTTTCAGTGCCTTTTAAAGAGTCTTAAGCATATTTTGATGAGTATTGTGAAATGCAATTATTTTGGATGTTGGATAATCCTGATGTGAAATTTTCGTAATGTGGCTAATAATTTTACTGTGGTCTTCATTCAAATGAATGATTTCATGCATTACTAAACTCCCCACCTCTAAAAACAAGACTAAGAGGATTTTGAATGAGCTACCATTTTAAAGTTGATAGAATAATTTACCTGATTTTGAAAAGGGACCATGTACAGTGTTAATCAGTGTTTTGTTTTACTTTGACAGAAACCAATAATACACTTCTGATACTATAAAACCCCCACTTAACTGTTAAACATGTGATCTTGGGTTTCAGCTCAGCCAACATGAAATGTAGCTGCTGCTAGAAAGTAGACAAGTTTAATTCCCATTACTGTGTGTTAGACAGACTTTAAAAAACGGTTTCTCCTTCACCCTCCGGTCAAGGTATTGACCTTGTTTAATTATTCAGGAAGATTCAAAGGGGCTGTTGCCACAGTGCTCAGTAACACACCACCTTTTTCTTTCTTTTTGTAGAACCAAAGGATTCCTGCAGACATGATATTCCTAAGAACGTCAGAGAAAAATGGTGAGCAGGCAAAGTGTTGGTGTAACTGTATCAATGTGAAGCAGGACAGTGCTGAAAAGACATAATTATGATCAGCAAAACTCCTCCTGGATTGATTAAGGTTTTAAAATGGAGAAAAATCTCTTGATAAGCAATAATAAATCATTGCAATAGGTGGAATAGTAATGCAATAATACAAAATACAATAGACAGAATGGCTTACAGCTGAACCTTGTGTGTCCTGTGGCACTTTAACGAACTGTGTCAAGATCATTTTGGTAAAAGATCTGACTTTTCCCGCACTTCCAGTCCTTTGACATCATCTCTCCGAGGCAGCCTGTGATTCATATGATTTATGTCACATTCCTCTAGTGACTGGATGCAAATTCCAATTAATCAATGAGCTGCGTCAGATCCTACCTCTTTTCTAAGGGGTATCAGGAGGAAATGTTTTGAGGACATCATTTCCATCAATCTCTGATGTGCCAATATGCTTGGCAGGGAGTTGTTGATGTCTTATGCTTCTAACACACACATACACAAACATAAGCACATCTTTATCTTTCACACATGCAGTCTCCTATACTTTGTCTTTCACATGCTCTTGCACACACACACACACACACACACACACACACACACACACACACAGCTAAGTGATGTTACGTGAGGTGCTGGAGTGCCATTCCAGCAGAAGGAAAGCATGAATCATCCTCCTTGTGTTAATGTTTTCCATCATAGTTAACTCTCCAGGGATGGTTTATGGCTGCCCTTTACCCTCTCTGTCAAATAGTTGCTCCCATCCATCAGTTTCATATGTAATATTACCTCAGATCAATACAGGTCACGACTGCTCAATGTTTATCGGACCTTGCGGTGCTCACAGCAGCCACGGATGCTCTGGGTTGTGCTGCAGGCTATAATGTACTTTGCTGTTGGCAATTGACGCATGCTAGTTTATTATAGTCACATCATTTTTACAAGCCACATGTGTTAGAATTTTTGAATGTTAAATGTCTCACAAAGATGTGACATTTAAGCATTATATATTTTTTGGCTGAACAACATCAGAACTTCAGTTTAACCTCACAGGATTTCCAATAATGCAAGTATTTCTTGCTGAATTTCATTGGATCATGTATAAAATCATACAAATCATAAATTTTCTGTGTGAGATTGTGATACAGCCATAAAAAACTAAAAGATGAAATAATATTATGTTTCTCACGCAAATAAAAATTTGAATTCATAGGCTATGAAATACACGTTTTATTAAGTCAATCCACTCAGATAGATTGTCCAAAACTAATGGATGGTGCCACCATGATGTCACCCATTGGTCTGTGGACTGTTATGAAGTCTTGAGTTTAGTCATGCCAGCTTGTTTTTTGGAGGAGTGAGAGGTTTGATCTGACTTATTAGCCCTTTTTACACTAAGATCCTGTGATAGGGCTGCACTGAAGACCCTTCCTTATGCCAGCCTGCTTTATCATATAGAACCAAACAATGCAAGCATAATGCCATCCCAGTGTAGGGCTTAAGATAGCATGCCGGTGTTATGGAAGTGAAACATTTCTCAGTATATATAACATATAACGTAACTTACACATTGGGCAGCGCTTTTAAAAAATAATGTCATAACATGACCATAACAGTCATTTACTGTCTATGATGGCTGATCTCATCCTCTGCTTGGGGGCTAAGCAGCTCCTGTACCTCATTGTCTCCCCAGTTTGCGAACATTTTCGGTTTCTGTATATTTTCTTTGTGCTAGCTGCTAACTGCTATCAGCTGCCTTTAACCTTCCTGGCAATGGGCCACACACATAACACGCCATCAAAAAGTCACACCCGTCCCTCCATGGTCCCTTCCTACTAGCTGTCCCTTATATACACAGGTCAATATGGCGCTCTTACTCCCTCCGCTGCAAGGCTTAAAGGCAAGACAATTCTGTCTCTCCATTCCACAATAATACTTTTTATAGAGAACGGCTAGGCAGAATAACAGCACAACATTCCTGTGTTGAACAGGCTGTGTAAAACTGAATAGCTATAGACCATAGCGACGCCTAGCAGACAGTTTGTCACTCAAAGCAGCCATGCCCTCAATTATTTGTAACTTTAAGCCTTATTAACATGTGAACAGGTGAGTTATACAAAAAAATCACCCCTGTTCAGCATCATGGAGGGAGAAATTAGCTATAGAGGCCATAACAGTTTTTTTTTACCAGGCTGTACACATGTTTATTTCCACTGTGAAATTGTGCATTGTAACATGGGGGTGCTTAGGGATTGACTTGGTTCTGGAGCCAGCCCTTAAGTGGCCAGTACAGAAACTGCAGGGTTTTTTTTGCACTTTTGCTTTGCCCTCAATTTCAGCCCCGGATGTTGCCCCTTGCCACAGCCGTACTTTGTTTGGTATGATTGGTAGCTTATAGTTGCTAATGCTGGCAAACTTTAGATAGATAATCCTGTGTAACTAAAATCCATTCACTAACTTTTCTGTACTTGTGATGCTATTAGACTTCTTATTTGTAGCATTTACCCTTATCCTGTAATTAAAATTGTGACCAACCATGCAACAGTCTTAATAGCATTTCTGTCTTTTTTCAGGTGCCTGTTTCATCAGAACAGACCAGCTGGATGGAGAAACAGACTGGAAACTGAAGGTTGCTGTTGGATGCACACAGCGACTACCAGCAGTGGGGGTACGGATACATTACGATGGTAGTGACTTTCTCGTAACAGACGAACCAATTGCAAATGAGTGTTCTGTTATCACTAAAAGCATTGCTCATCAAATGAAGTTGTCTGGCCGTGATGGAAACCTAATCACTGGTGACAGACAGCAGGAGCAGTCTGGACCTGGCAGCAGCTTCCTTTAACTGGAGGTGATATTCAACACTTAAGATTTAAGTTGAGTTGATGGTGTTTTTTTGTTGCCACTTAGTGTGATCAGAGAATTAAAGTTTCAGCAAGTAATTTGATGATTGAGCTGTGGCATCTATATTAGGTTTCAAGAGACCAAGAGTTGTCTTCTACTTTAGCCGCTATTCAACCTTGTTACAACATTATCCCTCACTTTGGAAAGACTTATTCTGAGTATTTTAGACTGACTATGTTTACATGCACACTGTTATTCTGAATATGACGATTGTGGTAGGAGTAATGCAAACAGCATATTTCATTTTGATATTTTGAATGTATCATTTTCTGAGTAAGACCTCTGGAATACCGATATTCAGGTTTTAGGAGTATTCTGTGGACATGTATACAGTGCATCCGGAAAAAAAGAATCAATTGTGTCTTAACTGCAGTTTGTGACACATGGCCTCTTGCCTGTTTATGATTGTTGGATATGTAGCACACAAACCGACTCACCAACAGTTTGCAAGGCAGTGGGCTAGAGATGTATGCCAAAAAGAAAAGCCCACATTTCAGGTTGGAAGGAGGAACACACTTACTTTTAAACATTATGAAAGACTTGGCCAGTAACAGGTTTTTGGATATGTGCAAATATCACAATGTCAACCTTTTCAGCAGTGTGGTTGAGGCTGTGTTGACACCATTGAATGAGTCTTTGAGAAAATCCTACTTTTGGGCAAAGTTGCAAAATGGCACAGGCAGCTACAGCCATTCCACTTTTCTATATTTTGACATGATAAATGACATGTTAGTGCACATTGCATGTAATCAACAATACTATTGGTATATTTCTTTTCATTAGCCATGTAAACAGCTTAGTAGGATATTGCCTTTTTTTTTTAATTTTGTCGGGAGTCAAGACAGATCAGTGTGATGTTGTTGTTTTCAGGTTGAAATGGCTGTTAATTTTACTAGTGGTAAAAAGTGAGCGCACATTCAGTAGTGTTACCTCAGTTTATTTGTCAAAGTTTGCTGTTCCTGTGCACTAATGTATCAGGTCATGCTATGTGCTGGATAGTGATAGTACTTTGAGATGTCCATAAAGCTGGACAGTCTTTTTAGATCAGTAGATTATATTTTGTATTAATGTAAAGTTTAAAAACCAAAAACTTGAGAGTACTAACTGCAGTCAGATTTGAGTGTTGTTATTCCTCTGTGTCCGCTCTCAATCACTAAATAAGTCCAGTTTGCTCAGCAGCCACATTGATCTCTCTGAATGCATCAAGATGCCACTGAGTCTCTGAGCCGCCTTCTGTAAAATGCTGAAGCAACACTACTCTCCATTGGGGGTTCAGTAAAATAATCTTCCCTGCTCCTTTTTAACCACTCTGCCCATGTTCTCACCAGGAGAACACTATCTGAGCATGACTGAGGCTTGCCGAGCCGCTGCAGAGGCTGCCTGCCTGCCTGCCCGCTTGAATAATTTAATATTTACAATCAATTTGGTTCCACTCGGGGCAAAAAAAAAGGCTGCTGTTAGGTGCTTGACAGGCCAAAGGCTGCAGTCTTACTTGTTGGGATGACTCAGACAAACAGATGACTGAAGACTAGTTAGTTGTTTATTATTGTGTCTTCGTTTGAAGCTCAGTTTCTTTTTCTATTAAAGGATAGTTTAAACCTTTTGTAGTGGGGCTGTATAAGGTACTGATCCATAGTCAGTGTGTTACATAGAGTAGATGTCAGTCAGCACACTCCTAGTTTGGAGAAGCAGGCTGGAGTCCAACACAGAAGGTGAACAATTTACTACTTTGGAGGGGGCAGCAACAAAACCTATGTTAGACACCTAAATTTTTTTTATATCAGTTCAAGTGTGTGCTATATTTAGAATATTTTCATTGTTTTACCTCAATGTCATAAAGGGGTTTCTGAAGGGGAAATTAAGCTGTTATTTTCCTGTATTCAAACCCAGACAACCCTGACTTTGGCATTTAAATGGGTTAGTTCGGATTTATAAAAGTCTCACAGTAACACAAAATAACTAACTGATCGAGCCAGCGGTAGACCAGTAGATCAGATAAGAACATAGATGGGAAACTAAAGCCGTGAATGTCTTCCCGGTCAAAAATATAATCATAATAATGCCAATTTTTTAGTACTGAGTAGCGACTTAAATAGCTTTTGCTGTGCTCCATCCACAGCAGTACATTACTTAGCTTTTGTGTCGTAACTTCTGCCTGCTTCTCCAAACTGGTGGCATGCTGATTGACATTTACTGTATGTAATACACTGACTTTGAATAAGTACCTCATACACTTCAGAGAGTCAAGAGTATCCCTTTAAAGAGAATAAAACATGTCTTCCAGTGTGAGAGAGATTGCAGCATTAGAACAAGTATAAATGTATAGACTGCAAACATTAAAGCATACTAAAAGTGGTAAAGATCAAACACAGCACCCAGTCAAAAAAGAACAAAACATCTTGTGCAGTAAAAGAATTACTAACTGTGGTAATTGAGTTAAATAAGACTGTGTCTGAGTTTTATATTAATTTATTAATGCTGAATCTTTTATCGCCTCCCTTTCTGTCGTGACTCATTTCCTCAGGATCTCTTCTCCATCAGCGCCTATGTCTACGCCCAGAAGCCTCAGCTGGACATCCACAGTTTCGAGGGGAACTTCACAAGGGTACAGTAACTCGTTGACATATTTATAACCTGTTAAACACACGCAGAGTTTTTCTTTACAAACTGGATTGACATAGAAGATGTGTATCACTGCAGTGTGTTGACAAGCAGCAACAATGACATCTTGTGTGTCCATCCGGGCCTGTTGTTATCTCCAGCAGGCGTACCTCTTACATCACAGGCAGGTTCTCGCAGCTCCAGCTCCATCCATCCCATCTTGCTTGTTGCTCAGTGATTTTTTTTTTTCCCTTTTTTTTTTTTTTTTTTTTTTTTATTAATAGCAGATTAGTGCAGCCCCCACAGAGAGGAGAGCTCCAGTACAAAGGGAGGCTTTGTGGCCCGTCTTCACTCTTGGCCACACACCAGGCTTAGTGAGCGAGCACTTCCTCCGCTCATTCATCCTCCGCGGCCTTCCTTTGCATAGCGTGTGCTTTTAGTCTGAGCAGGATGGGAAAAAAATGGGTTCCCACAGATCCGCAGCAAATGAACTTACCTATTTATTCTTTTTTCCTTTTTTTTTTTTTCTCCTCGAGACGGATATGGTGGCTTTGTTTCTGTGGTCTTTATTGAGATCCTCTGCAGTTATGAACACCGTAGTATGATGCCAATGTCAGAGCGGTCAAGCACTCTGCAACCTGCCATTTATTTTTCATGCACCTCTTCCCATGTTTGAGTGGTTTGACAGGATGTGGGTGCTTAGGTATCATAATTATCATATCAGGCAGGCAATTTGAGCCGAAACTGGAGCCTTGACTCTGCACTCCTGACTCAAGCCATTTTCAGCTTTCGTCTTTATTTAAGAGTGAGGGGTAAAACAGGGGGAGGGGGGGAGCGTGAAACAAGAGGCTCTCCAGGGGCTTATTTATCACTGAAATCTCATCTACGTGCACTCTCTATACTGTTTTTAAAAGGAGCCTCTATCGCCATGCCAAATCTAGTAGTATTGATAAAGGGACCACTGTATTGCTACAGTCTGCACAACTGTGTCAGGTGCTTGTGAAAATTAATGGCACAGCAGAGCCCGGCCATTCCGGTCAGGCTGTATGCTTAACTGAGGTTGTTTTCCTCATGTCTGTACAGCTGAAATTTTTATTTTCAGGGGAAATTTGTTAGCCTTGACACAGTGTTTTCCCCAAACAGAGAATAAAAAGAACTGTGAAATTGTACTATTTTTGTGGTAATTCTGGTTTTCAAATAGGATTTAAAACTACCAAAACTACCACAACAGTGTTGACTCTATCTGTCCTCCAATAAAACACATAAAACTGGTTAGTTGTACTACAAATGTTAGTCAGTGAGCCATTGTCAAATTGTTTTTAGACATCATGACAAATACTGTAAAACAGGTCCATCACTAAAAACAAATGTTCTTGAATGTGACCTAAGAAATCACCCTACACACTACTTTACAATATTTACTTGATGTAAATCAGTTTAAGCTTTAATTTTCTTTATTATTTCTTTATTTTAGTATTTATTGCTTAAACACATAAATGAACTATCTGCAGGCAAAATTCATGGCTCACGCACACACTGAACAGAACTGATTAGAGGTTGCTAATTGCAGAAATAAATTTACACAGTTAAGGTATTTCTTTCAAGTAGGTGTTTTCTCTCTTTTGACTTCCTTGTTTACCCACTAAAGTGTTTTAATAAGGGACATTTACGAGTTAAATTCTAATTAACACCGTCACTTTCAACCAAACCTGTGACATTTATTTTCTAATTATATTTGGGTGTTCTACTAAAGGATGTGCAAACAAATTTGACATTCGTTATTAACCGTTATTGAACTACAATGCCTGTATTCATTGGCTGTAGTGTTAGTTAGACAGTTACATGGAGACACCATGCCGACATGGTACTACTGTCAAAAATATTGTTTTATCCCTACTTATCAATTCTGAATATTTATAACAGTTTCAAGACTCACAGTCATGGTTTGGCCTTGTTATGTTCATCTTTTAATAACAGATTTAAATATTTCTGGTTCAGGACGTCAACCGCACCAACATTGGTAATCGCTCATTATCTTTATGGAAAACCATTTCAAAGGCCTTAGTTTTGGGAAAGGTTAAAACAGCTATAAGATGAAAATATTAACATGCCAGCAGTCAGCAAATGAGAAATGCAGGCAGTCAACGGCACGTTAAAGGTTAAAAGGTTAAATTGTATGCCTTTCAGTTTCAAATTCCCCTGTGTTATTGATTGGGAATGGTATTAATATCTCTGTTTTTCAAGATATTGTATGAAAGTTAGAAATTCCACCATCATGACAACACAACAGCATAGATTCAATATAAAGATAATGTTTGAAACATAGCAGCTCTTCTTTACTATGTACCATACTGCCAATTAACAGGCTCACATACATATACACAAATTGTAAAGCAGTATTTCGTTTTATTTCTCCTGTAGGAAGACACAGATCCACAGATCCACGAGAGTCTGTCTATTGAAAACACTCTGTGGGCCAGCACAGTCGTTGCATCTGGTAAGTGAATGACAACTTTTATTTCAAGTCCGTTTTTATCTTGAAATGAGAAATAAGATTTTTCCAGATGATGCCTTGCAGCCACAGTGTGTTGGTTCTCAGTAACATTGACTGTTGATATAGAGTTTTATGTACAGTCTGCTGCCTGTTGAATCTCCATGTTTGTCAGGAAGCAATTTTAAAACCTTGACATTACATTGAAAAATACTGTATATCTGCACCAAAAAGGTACATTACCTTCAACCAGTTCTGCCCTACATAGGCTAATCCGGGTTACTACAATTTTGGTCAGAGAAAATAGGGTGTACAAGTTGCAGTAACAACACAATCCAACCCAAACACCCAAGGCAAACCACAGTAAATGTAGTCGCTGCACTCTGTCTTGGGTTCCCTGAGGTTTGAGATTCTTTCAGGCCAAGAAAACTTGCAGTATGCGTATTACCTAATGTTGAACTTGAGAATGAGGATGATGCCAAAGTCGAAATAATTAATGACCATAGCAAGATCAGTGAGGTCAAACTTGATAGTTACAACAAAATGATACTTGAGGGTTACTTAAAAAAAGTTAGTGAAACAAATACGTATAGAATTTTGTAAGACATAACAATTTCCCTAATACTGAAAAAGATAAGACGCTAAAATTGTAGTTACTGCCATTTGTTGTTGCATTAACTATATAGCTGTTAAAGGTAATACAAAGGCAGTGTACAGGAACTACAGTTTTAGTGCATTTTTGTGGTCATAAGTCAAATCACTGGTCATGGTTTTTAGGCTTAAAATGTGCTTTTACAAATACCTTTTTAATTACTGTATTACCACTTTTCTACATATAAAGCATTTGACTGGATGGTTAAAAAACCTAAAAGCCACTTTTCTCAGTTTTAGTGTTGCCATGGTTACTGCAGTAAACTTTTGTGGGGCAGTGTTTTTATAAGCAATTTTAACTTACACATTAAAATCTTAAAACAGTATCACAAAACATTTTATGTACTTGAGTGAAAATGTTGGTACATCAAACACCTTGACTTCACGGTACCCTACTGTGCTTCATGTCATTCTGGGACTCACCATTACATTCAACTACTCCACCAAAAAAGACATAAAATGAGTCTGGGTGCTGGGAGTGTATGTAACCTCAACGACCCTGTTTCAAGTCCAGACAGAGGCCCTTGTTGAATTTCACCCCCCCTTCCACCCACTATAGTGGCACACAGCAGGGAAACGTGGATCAGAAGAGACACATTTATATTCACATAAAAATTGTTGATGACAGTGATTCAGTTTTTCTGAGGTTTTAGACATTTGCTTTATACTTCTCTGACATTTTAATAGAACCAAAACTAGTCACCAGTTCTAACCCCTGCTCATCATTGTAGTTAATGATTTAAACTCCCCATGAAATGAAAGTTGGAGGGCCTTTAGCTTCTGTAGTGTGACATATTTCCCATTGAAACTAAATATTTGAGCAGTGCACAGTTATAAGAGAGATTTAAATCAAATCCTTTGCATTTGGTTGGACTGCTAAAAAGTGGGCAGGCTTAGAGTTTAGTGCAATACAGCGCTATAGTGGAGTCGCAGCTGATTGACTGTTTTCTCCATACTCACCTTCCTCGCCCTGAGATCAGAACGAAGACAAGGGAGAGATGAATTCATTAGAGCTCCACCATGTTGTTTTGGACTTGAAAACAAAGGTTTTGCCTGATGATATCCAAGCACACATTTCTCTCCACATTGCTGTGTTAGCTAGCCGCCCAAAGTCTCATTGATTGGATGAATTTTAGAAAACGTCCCTGAGTGCAGGATGAGTCATCAAACATGTGAAATCATTTCGGCTGGATTTACAGGAAGAGAAAAGACAGAGGATGTAATGTAAATATATTTTCATGCTGATTTTCTGAGATATAGGTGGTATATAACAAGATAAATGATCAATTAAGACAGGGACACAGGATTAAAACTGGGAAAATGTATTTTTTCATTTCATGGGGAATTTAAGTGATTCTGTCTAAGTTGTGTTACACAAAGGATTTGTGGCATTAAACCTTGAAGGCATTTGATTTGATTCTGCAGTGTGCTTGTTTGAAGAACTATGAGAATACCCGCAGTTGAGGTAATCCTCCCTTGCTCCAACTTAGCGATTCCCCACAGAAACGGTTGTGTCAGTTGAGAGTGTTTGCGGCGCTCCCAGCGATGGCCACACCATTGATTTGCGGTGTTGCTCTCCCCTCTGGCCTGACCTTGACCAGAAGAACAAACACACACACACACTCTCGCACAAAAAAGCCTGACTTAGACCCCTTACATCATCTCGGCTTGGGAATGTCATTCTCCCTCACAAGGCTCTCCTTGACAGGCACTACATTGCCTCTACAGTGGCATTCTGGGCACTTGAACTGGCCCGGATCACCATGTATTCACTCTCTCATAGGCCCCAGTCCAGCTGTGACAAGAGAATTAGTTGTTCGCATATTCAAATTGAAGCCCCTGTGCATGCTGAGCCTCAAACCATTTGTCACATCCCTCAATATTTCTGAAGTTAGAAGTCAACGAGAGCAATTCATCACCTTTCTCCACAGGTCCTGCAGCTCTCTGTCTCTTTTCTCTTCCTCTCCCTGCCTGCACTTCACTTTCCACATTTTGTTTTCTGCCCATTTTTAACTTTCTTGCCATTTTTATAGTTTGGGGATTTCAGGGCTGTATTTAGGTTTATTATTGCCTTTGCTCACCCATTAAGCTCATTTAATATTAATGACTCATTAATCCTTTGTAATAAGGCCACCGTAATGAATTGGCAAATAAAGATGGCAGTGTATTGATCAGGTTTTATGAGCTTCCATAGGGTGGCTGAAGGCCCTGAGAGTCTAAGCGTATTAAACTCCTGTCTGTTGGCCTGAGTGGCAATGAGACAAAACTGCCTCAGCTCAGCCTTATTGTGTTTCCTCTCATGCTGTTCATCTTACTTGACCAAGACGAGTGTGTGCATGTATGTTTGTGTGTGTATGTGTGTGGTGTGGGAGATGGTGGGGGTGGGGTGCAGTTAATGAGCAGCATTACTTTCCTTGTCTCTCTCCTTGGCAGGCACAGTGATAGGGGTGGTGATCTACACAGGCAAAGAGACCAGAAGCGTACTGAACACGTCCTACGCCAAGAACAAGGTGAATACTTTTTTTAGTTTTTTTAGTATTTGTGCAGGGAAGACGGCAAGTCCTGTGATTTGTTTGACAGTTTTGGGACATAGATGCTTTAATTGTAATAGTATTTTCCCCTTTTTTTAAAATAACAAATGATGTAATAAGTAGTTTGGTGTATACAATGTCAGAAAGTTGCAGAAAAAGCCCACGACAATTCACTAAATCCCAAGATGACGTGCAAATGTATTTTTTCTTCAACAGTCTAAAAATCCAATTATATTCTATTTACTATCACCTTAGACAAAGGAAATCACCAAATTATATAGTTTAGAGCTGGTACAAGGTATTTTTTGTATATATACACACATTAATTGATAAGTGGTGTTGATAATTTCAAATCCCCTAATCATTTTGGCTTTATGTAAAAAGGACCTATTATGCTCATTTTCAGTTTCATACTTGTATTTAAGGTCTCTACTAGAACATGTTTACATGCTTTAATGGTTAAAAACTGTTTATTTTCCTCAATCTGTCTGTGCTTGAACAACTGTATTCACCCTCGGTCTAAAACACTCCGTGGAGCACCTGTCTCTTTAAGCCCCCTGTCCCGAAAAAGCCCAGTCTGCTTTGATTGGTCAGCGTTTCCAAGTCTTCTGTACCTTGGCGTCTCTGCATTGTCATTGCAACCAGGGAATGACTGTAATGTAGGATAACAGCACTTTTTAGCGTGAAAATTCACCAATTAAAGCATCTAAACACGACGGGGCATGTTCCAGCAGGAATATGATACATAGAGGAATTGACAACATCACCAACCAAGGTTACATGTTTCCCTGACGTTAGCATGTAGCTATGTGTACGTTAGCTGTGTACTTGCAGCCAGGGAATGACTGTAATGTGGGTAGCAGCACTTTAAACCATTAAAAAGCATCATCAATAAAAGTTTCTAAACACAACCAAACACATTCAGCAGCAATCTGCATTTACAATGTAGTTTGAATGCTTCTCTGATGTTAGCATGTGGCTACATGTAGCAGTGTATGCTACGTAATGTTAACACTTGCAGTAGTGTGCCTGAAGCAGAAGACCATATAAAGAATATATAAATATGTAATATAAAATGTGGTAATCATAACTAAGTCACTAAATTACATTGCTGACAACACTAAAATACACTTACTGATTTTGGGGAAGAGATTGATTAAAAATGTTAATGAGTATATCTTGGTTTTATATTCCGGCATGCCTGAGACATTCAGGTATTTTCCAGGCATTTCCCCAAAGCTTTAAGAAACTCAAAAATATAAAGATCCTGCCAGGTGATGCCAGTAAAAACATAAACAGTTTATAAAAGCTGCAGAGGGTGAAATGCCTCACACAAAGTAACATCTGTTCCAAGTTCCCCTCTTGCCATTGTTTTTTCCCCTGCCTCTAATCATTAATCAATCACTATGGCGAGGTGGTTTTTTAACCTTGACTTTCTAGATAAAGTTGGACCTGTCAATGAGAAAGGTCAGCGCCAGTTGCTAATTAACCAAAAGGGAAATTAACTAACCGAGGATTTAAATGACATTTTCAGCAGAAAGTTAATCCCACAGAATCCCCATCGAGTGTTTTGTCCCCAGATTGAGGAGATTAATGAAAATCTGATTCTAAATATAAGATTTTACCTGGAAGATAGTTGAGCTAGATAGACACGGGTCGACTGATAGAGGCAGGCATCAGTGGGATCTCAAGAGGCGGTGTTTTGGCTACAGCGCATACACCATGCAATGACTTTTACACACAAAGTTATCACCTACAGCAGTTCGCACCACTGAAGCTCTCTGTGGCACAACATAGCCTCTTCCTACTGCAGCACAGTTTTGACACCAGTGTCTTTTATTAAGAACGCTGATGTGGCCGGTCGAACGGCGGGGGCCACTGTTTTGTGTGAGCTCGACAGTTGAGAGGAATTCAATATTTCAAGGAGATGATGTCAGAAGTGCCAATATGGAGACTGGGGATTGGGGGAGAAAGTCGATACAGTGTGGCTAAAGTCACAAGAACGTTTTGGCCTCATATAATCTGTTGTGACACGGGCCAGGACAATGCCGGCACTTGATCAATCTGACAGGACGTCAGACATAGATTCACTCTTTGTCTCAGTATTGTTAGACAGACCTCTGTCTGAGTAAAGAGGCAGAACAATGTCATTTGACAAGAGGCTGCTCTTCAGTAAAGATTCTTCTATTTGAAGTACATATCCAAGTCCCAATACTCTATGTGTGCCTCAAACTGTGCTACTCTGCAAATAATTACACTTAAAGTTGTTTACTAAGATCCCAAGAATCAATTTGAGTTTATTTTCCTGACTTCCTCGATTTGTCGGTGTCACAAGCACCAAACAATGCACTACTTAGTGACTGAAGTCCTGATATTCTTTAGTTTTAACTCGATGAATATTCATGTCCTGGGGCTGCAATTCTTCATCAGATTTCACACACATGCTAAAATACAAGCCACACAGGCAGATCGAATCATTCCTTTCACTTTTAATGGCTTGGAGATGAATGGAGTAAAATATGCACTTTTTTTTATTCATTGATAGCATCTTTAGGTTGAGGTAATTGAGTCCTTTTTCCCCCCTTGACTGAATGAATAATGACTTCATCTGATCCCCGGCAAGGCTTGGAAAATTTAGACTAGCCATTGTTCAAGCAGAAGGGGATCCTTTGCTTTTCAGGCGTGCACTGTGCTCTCTGTCTTAATTTTTCTTCATTTTAATCCACCCAAACCCCCTATTTTTCTCAATAGCTCAACCATGAACCATGTAGTGAGGCAGTGGGGTGGGGAGATACCCACCCGCCCGCTCGCTCCCCTTACCCTTCCCTTCCTCCGCACTCTGCTACTGGGAGTTTAACAGCAACTGATAAATCAGTCACACTGGTCTCCCGGCTCTCCCAGTCCTCAGGGGAATGGGCTTGGTGGGGGTTTCGCTAGTGGAGGAATTTTGCTGCTTTTTATATGTGCTTGCCCCCTCCCCTCCTTTTCAGAGCAGTTCCTTTATTTGAGGGAGGAGAGATGTTATGTTCTGCTGTTTTTGTAAGCGTGGTGCGTCAGAAGAAAGCCCTCTGTGTACAGGGCTTTGCTGTGAGCTCTGCCAGAAAGGGGAAGGGCACTTCTTTATTTGACATCTTTTTCCCACATGCTCCATTGGCTGGGAGATACACTCGAAAAATAAAAGACAACTCTGACCCCTTTTTTGTTGTGTTTTTTCCTTCAGAAAGCCATCTCAATATGGGAACTTTATCTATTTTTGAGCCCTTTAACCTTCCGTTGCATTCAAGGACAATACTTCAGTGTGACAATAATGCAGCTTGTAGATTACCCCAAAATAGTGCCACCAATAAACTTATTTATGTTGTACACATGGTTTGCATGATAAAAGCCTGCAGCTAAGAATGTCTTTCATCGGCTTTGTTTTTTCTCCCTGTGTAGCATATTGTAAGGCTTTAGGAGCAGATGGGAAAGTTCCAAAGGGTCTTCTCTAGTATAAGTTGTCAAAAAACAAATAAGATGTTTACTCTAAAACTCCAGTCTGGACTTAATATTGTGTGATTCCCACTGAAGGAAAACATCACTGTCCTTAAGCAATGGAGTGTAGAGAGGACCAAACCTAATACACACAAGATTATCTTTATAATTATTTCCATGCTCCAACCTGCTTAGAAGATATAGTTACAATAGTGAATCTGTAATATTTGCTGTTTTGACCTCAGACCTCTTATCCCCAAAGGTTGGCTTACTGGACCTAGAGCTGAACCGCCTCACAAAGGCCCTGTTCCTGGCCCAGGTGGTTCTGTCCGTTGTCATGGTGGCGCTTCAGGGGTTTGTGGGTCCTTGGTTCCGCAACCTTTTCCGTTTTGTCGTGCTTTTCTCTTACATCATCCCCATCAGGTACTTTGTGATTCTCTCCATTCTTTGAACTGCTGTTGTTTTGTGTTTGTCATTTTGGGACCACAGCCAAATAAACATGGCTGAACAGTAATATGTTTTTTTCCAAGCAGAACATTTGGTCTCAAAATGGGAAAAATTAATGCATAAATTAAATTTGAAAATCTTGTGTCCCTGCTTTGAAACCCAGGCTGCCCATCTGCTTCTTTTTCAGAAGACATTTTTCAGAACATACCAGATCTTTTAATTCAGTTTCTGTTGCTGTTGTTTTATTGTTATTTGTTCTGTGATAGATTACAGCTTTGTTTTTCCCATGTGTAGTTTGCGTGTAAACCTGGACATGGGAAAGTCAGCCTATGGCTGGATGATCATGAAAGACGAAAACATCCCCGGCACTGTTGTGAGAACCAGCACCATTCCAGAAGAACTGGGCCGGCTAGTCTATCTGCTGACTGATAAGACGGGTGAGTGTCCAAAAGTACTGAAGATTACATTTACAGGAGCTATTTCTGTGTGCCTCCCTCTGCTGATTTTGACAGAATTGTTTATCGTTTTTATAGTTATTTAGTGCACCATTAGATCCATTTTCATATGTGAGTACTCTGATTAATACATGTATTCTCTGATTTTGAAACAGTAACCTTATGTTACATTGTTGTTTCAGGCTGAATTGTGGAGTCATTGGCCCTAACAGTTGTCTGTCATTAGTAGTCAGTTGTCTGCATATTAGAAGTAGGGGAACACTGGTTAAATGTAGAGTATACTGATAGTCTGCATGTAAGCTGTGTAGGGGACAGCCGTAATTTGCAGCTAAAGGAAGTTATCTGGGTAACATTTGGATTCCTTACAACTAAATTATAGTAACAAGTGGATCCACTTCTTCTCCTTCTGTACTTTATATATTTATTTATATATGAATTAATTTAATATTCTCCCAAAAATTCAGAAAATAAATGACTTATTCTGTTATATTTCTGACGGATAGACGTTTAACTGCATGCAGAACCACAGTGCACCAGTCCAAAAAGTCATATTCTGATGAAATGCTTTGGGCCATGTAAACTTTACCTTACTTTATTTTGTGTCCATATAAACAGTTACGTTGGAATCTCTAATTTAGAATAATTTCAATCAGGTTGAAGAAATTGTTGACATAATAGCAGCTAATGCAAGATAAAAAAATAGCTGAGGACAAAAGTTTCAACAAATCTTCTGAATTGGAGTTATTTAAGCCTCATTCAATTTCTCTCATTTTACAATCATGGCCTGATCCTCTAATAACAAATAGCTGCTCTTTACTAATGCTAGACAGTATGCCAGAGTGATAAACTCCTGCTGGGGCCCTAACATGCTTCTTTGTCTTACCACGCTGATCTAGGTAGGAATAGATTAGCTGTAGAGCCTATTTATCCAGGTTGATAGTTAAAGCACATGGAAAGAAGAACAAACAATCAATCCAACAGAATTGGTTAACCCCGTGGCTCTAATGTTTTTGGAAGTTAGATGCCCTCTAATCAGCTTTATGCTCTATCGGCACACATTCTGGCAACCGACATCCATTAAACAAGGCCATTGCCCTCGTTTTCAAAGTTTTTCTTTTTTTCTTTTAGTGTCTGAACATTCACTCAGTCTTTTTGTATGCAGTGTTGTGTCTTGTCTGTTAGTCAGAGAGGACATGCAGTCCATATTGGTAATGAGATTAGGTCAATGAGAAGGCAGTCACACCACCCTGCAGGTCCCATGATGCATTGTAGGCAGTCCTCTGGGAACAAATGCTGTGCTTTCTGTGTGTGTGTGTGTGTGTGTGTGTGTGTGTGTGTGTGTGCGCTTTAAGTGGTGGAGTATCTGGACTATGTTTTATTTTTTCTATGAAAGAGAGGTGGTGTGATAAGACACCTGATTTATTTTTACCCCTGACAGTCAGTAAACGGCTGACATTTCTTATATAACTACTTTATCGTATTCTACAAGCTTTGTGTTTACAGAACAGAAGATGCTATGTTTGTTTTTACTTTGATTTTATTTTTTTATTGTCAGAAAGAGCTTCAAGGCAAACAAAAATAGCTGAATTGGGAATTAAGATGTTATTGTATTAGAATTAAAGTGTGGTAGACTGCCTATATACTGTACACATTGAAATTAGCTTACTGCAGATACCATATCATGTGTATGTTGGATGATAAGTAATAAGAAATAGCAGTACAGAGATGCTAACCTAGGCCTCAGTTTATTTGAAAACAGCATCCCTATAATATAGTTTGTCCACCAGATAACACTGACTAAGTTTCTCATTTAGTATGTATCCCATCACAATGCTACATAAAAAAAAGAGGTTCCTCACAATTTTTTTACATTGTGTTTGTGTACAAAACAGTAATAAGATTTTTTTTAAAAACATTGATACCAGTTTCGGCTTAAAAAATCCAGTATAAGTGTGACTATACTTTTGCTTCTGCAATTAGAATTTTTAGGCTTTAATTGCATCTAGCAGTGAGGTTACAAAACAGAAACTTTTCCTGTGTGCCAAGCATGTAAAAGAACTACTTCAGCCAATGTGAAAACACAACTGCCCTATCTAGAGCTAGTGTTTGATTTTTCTTGCTCTGGGCTAGTGTTGAAAAACATGGCGGACTCCATTATAAAAGGCTCGTTCTACGGTAACGAAAACACAATGATTTCTAGTTCAAGAGATTATAAACTAATGAAAACATAGTTATGAATATTATACACCATTTCTGATCTTACATACTGGACCTTTAAGCTCTGATGATAACAGAAATAGCAGCGATCATTGGGTGAAAAACAGTAATGGAGGAGTAGTGTTGTGTCATTTCTTCATTTCTGGTTGGCTTGTAACATCTAAACTGGTCCTCTGAACTGCAGGGACTCTGACACAGAACGAAATGGTCTTCAAGCGGCTGCACCTGGGAACAGTATCTTATGGCACTGACACCATGGATGAGATACAGAGCCACATAATCCAGTCATATGCACAGGTAAGATTTATTACTACCCGTTATTGATTAATCTGTCGAACATGTCCTCACTTAATTGTTATGATAATGAAATGCAAGGGAATAACGAGTAAAAGTCCATTTATATTTCCCAGATGTTAAGATGATGTCTCAAAATGTCCTGTTTTCTCATGACCAATGGTCCAAAATCGAACTGTAAACATTCAGTTTACAATGATGTAGTGTAACATATATGATCCATTGCCAGTTTATTTGGTATACTTTGCTAAAACGAATGCAATAAATCCTACCTACACGAAGGTCATAAGGCTCTGGTTTTGTTAAAATTGTTTTAAAGAGGTGTTAATTCAAATTTATGAGCACTTTATGATGCTGTAGTCCCCGCTGCTGTTGCATTGTGTCATAGCGTAAGGTTTCAGTGCTAATTTGGGAGTGGCACATCCTGCTCCTTTTTGTTCCCTTTAACAATGCAAAGTTTTTAATTCCCATTAAATGATGTTAGATCTACATGATCCCATATGTAACACCAGACAAAACCAACCAAAAGAAAGCAAAATTTGTCACTTCCAATATTAAAATGTGTTTCCAGTTTGGGAGAGGATACACTGAAATATAAATATGTCCACTCCATCCATGTTTTTCCTTCTTATTCCCGCCTCTCCCTGTAGATCAGTTTAATCAATTTTTATATTTAGCTAAGGATATGTTTTCCAGGAAATAAGCCCATATTGTTCATTCATCACTCAGTGTCCCTGAGCGACTCCACATACTGTAAGCAAGTGTTTTCCTCACTGGGTGGCTCAGATCTGGCTGCAGTCTTGACAGAATGATATTGTTTGTTCTCAGCCAGCTCCAAACAGCTGGTCGACACTAAAACCATCTGCCCCACACCCTTATGTGTAATCTCAGCTAATGAAAAATGACTAGTCTTTTTAGAGCTGCGCAGCTGAAGCAGAGCAGAGCAACGATGCCTCAGTCCAGCTGATTTTTACTATGCTGCTTTTTCTTTACTGTCACAGTGACACACTTACAAGACACAAGCATGGTTTTAAAAACTGTTGTCATTTTAAACAATATTGGATCCAGACTAGGGCAGCAACTTACAGTTAATGTCATTTATATAATTTCCTCAACAAATTAATTTACTGTTTGCTCTATAAATCAGAAATACTCATCATACTTTTTAGTTACTATCACATATGACAAAAGAAGCAGCTCCTTTCGTTTAAGAAGCTGGAACCAGCAAATTTGTATTAAGTGATGCAAGTAAGTAATTGACAGTTGCAGATTAATTTTCTGTGAGTAAACTAATTGATGAATTGTTTCAGATCTATTCTACGTGAGGGCATCTTTATTCATCTATCAACTTTCTAGGATATGTTACAGTTGGAATAGGAATCAACTGTAATTTTTGTGATAAAGGTACAACCAAATAGCAACAGTAGCCCCATTTAATCATGCTTTTTGTACACTTTTTCTACATACACATTGTAATGGAAATTCCATAAGAACTATTTAAAAGTTTAACTTCTTGTTATGCCTCTGCACTGGTGACAGCTGTGGCCAGAGACATTATGTTTTTGGGTTTTCCGTCCATCCTATTCTTTATTAATCTTTATTATTCTATTAAAAACTTTAATCTGGCCATTATTTGCTGCCGTAATTCAGGAAAAGAAGAGGAGAATGAATTAATGATGCTATTTTTGGTCGTCCACCTTGAAACTGTGCTGATTGTATGGATCTTCTGTGCTGCTTGTGTGAAGGATCCACTTTTAGGATTGATAGCAACTTAGCAGCAGCATCCATATTTCAAGCATTGTCACTGTCATGATTACATATGAGTCTGGACAGATATGACTGTAAACTGTAACTGCATCTTGACTGGTTCATAGAAACATGCACCTGTGAGACAGTAATTCTAGTTTTATAATAAAACAAGGGTGTTGCGAGTGTTGCTGGACTTGTTGATTATCTAATATTACCAAATCCAGCAAGCATTATTAACCAAACTTGTTGTACACAGATTTGCTGTTGAATAACTGCTGTGCTTTCAGTAGCATCCTCTGCATGTAGCTCAGACACTAAACCTGTCTGACAACATGATCTAATGATCTCTCCATTGATCTTTTAGTCACTCTTGATGAAGGTTGTCATCTTGCATCCCTACTGTACTCCCCATCACCCCTCCTTTCCTGCCTGGCAGGATTGAAGGTTAATAATAAGCCAAAATCAAATGCTTCAATAGAGCGCATCGCACCCGTCAAATGCAGCTGGCACAGCGGGCTGTCTGTCTGCTCGCTAGTCACCACCCAGTTAAACTGATGGCTGATGTCAAAACAACGGAACACATAAAAGGTCGTCAAATCAGATATGACACGATAAAGACGGTGATACACCACTTCCCCTCGCTGTGTCACTTAGCCTGAAAAGAGATGTCAGAGTGAATTGGCTGCGAGTGTTGGATTAGATCTGTCCGCCATGTGCAGGGATCCTGCAGTTAGGAAATAAATTCAGAGTTGTAACAGTTGAAGTACAACTTACAGGTCTGAAAAGATGCAGTTTTTCATCTGATGTGTGTATTATTTGGTAATCATTATTAATCATTAGGCAGCTTATTTCATAAAATTTGGTTTTATAGTAGTTTCTCTGCATAGCTTTCGTAGTAATAGACTATCAAAATCAGTCATGAGCCAACAATTAAAGGTAATTAGATGCTTCCAAATGTTGGTACAAAACCCACATATTCTAGCTTTAATATCATGCTAAAACTACCACTTCAAATGAAAATGATTGAAACATTGCAACATTTGTCTATTTGGGCGATCTAAGGTCAACTATTTTACTACTATTCAGCTACATGTGTCATCCATAGATGTCAGTGAAATGGTATGATTTCAGTAAGTCATTCATTTATTGACTCCATGGTTCACATTATTTATCGTGATATCAGGTGACCTCCCAGCCCTCCACCGGCAGCGCTAGTGGCTCCACTCCATCGCGGAAGACCCAGCCGTCTGGCCCGAAAGTCCGTAAGAGCGTCAGCAGTCGCATCCACGAGGCTGTGAAGGCGATTGCCTTGTGCCACAATGTCACGCCCGTCTACGAATCACATGCCATTGTGAATGGAGAGACGGAGTCTGCCGAAGCTGACCAGGACTTCAGTGATGACAATCGCACCTACCAGGCCTCCAGCCCTGATGAGGTAAGGACGAGATGCAGTGAAGAGTTTTACCACCTCCAGCTTGAATAGAAAAGAAAAATGGACTAACTAAAAAGCGGTGATGTTGGTTTAGACATAGAGGGGGTCGCTAATGATTGAGAGATATTAGACTATCATTGAACTTGCAACTCAAAATTAACGGGTTGAGTGGTGTCCAGTGGGTTTAGTGGGTTTAATGGGTTCACTGCCCTTGTGTTGCACTTAATCAAATCTGTTTTAAAATATTTTTTAGGGCAACATGTAAGTGCATATACATATAGATATACACATAAAGGGGCACGCAATAGCTCATTGGGTAGAGAAGGCATCCCATGTACAAAGGCTTTGTCCACAGCAGCCGTGGGTTCAATTCCAGCCTGTGGCCCGTTGCTGCATGTCATCCCCTCTCTTTCATGGCATTTGTAAAAACCTGTTTGCCATGTGAACAACAGACAACCCAAAACACAAATAACAGCTGCTCGTAATGAAAACAAAAGGAAGAAAACACAGACAAATAGACTGATAGTGAAGTCCAGGCTTTACTGAGCATAAATGTAATGGAAATACAATTGATTTTGAATTGTCAAAGTGAAAGTGAAGTCGCTTTAACAACCGCTAGACAGCTTACACTATGTTTTCAGGGTTTCCATTAGTGATGCAAATGCAAACTGGACCCAAGAGGGTATGTAGTTCTTGGGGGAGCTCCCCAGTGGACAGTGCCTCTCAAGGAGTCCCCACAACTATTTGGTCTGAAAATGCCTACTCTGCGTCTCAACTCAGGAACAGAAGGGGGAAAATTGGGTCAGATACCGAATTAGTGACACTAATCTTGTCCATCTTGAAACTGTTGATTGTTCAGATCTTCTGAGCTGCCAGGAGATGTGTATGAAGCATCCACGTTTTAGAATGTGTAGCTTCTTTGCAAATGGTTTTGCTTTCTAAGGCCCTATTTACACTTATCATTTAAAGTGTCTCATATCTGGATTAAATGCAATTGTGTTTTATACACATTTCTGTTAAGAACAAACAGAGGGGATTATCAGGAGCAAACCCTTTAAGTCCCTCTCCACAGTTTCCTCTCTGTCTTTGTTTTATTGGTGATCCTAAATAACCCTTGTTTGTCATAATCGTCATCTCATGAACCTAAAGTCAGAGGTCATGAACTCCTCATAGAGGTTAAGCTATTTAATCGTATGTATTTGCTCCCTGAGAATTTACTGCTCCAACTGAAGAAGAATGCAGCGCAAAAACGATCCCCAAAGGCATCCCTATAGGTTCTTTCCTCTGGCTGTCTCTCCATGTAACCTAAGAGTTTGAGCTTTTATTGCTGACGGTGCTACTAAGCCTTTTTATATACAGCCTCTCCTAATCATACTTAAGACTTTATCAATAGAGAAATTGAATGCTGATGGTAATTGAATACTGGGAAGACAGGGCAAGATTTTTGATCAGGAAAAGTTATAGTCAGTATTTATTTAAAGAGATGTTTAATGCATATTGAAGGGTAGTTAATCTTCCCATACACACCCTTTTCAAGACTGTTGGCATGTTTATCACCCATGATGTGAGGCTTTGTAAAGCCTTTGTAAGGCTTGCATACTTTGCGTCAAACCCCCAGTCTAGAAGTCTAGTAATCAAAATGAAGATAAAAAGGTGGCGAAAGATAAATCTCAGTTTTCCATTTTGCCCGTCTGTCCTCCCCCACTGAGTTGATGTATATATTTATTTATATCCCTGCCCACTCTGCTCTATCTCCCCTCTCTCCATTGTCTCACACTGCTTGGATTGATCAATATTTAATTTTCTCCCAGAGACGATGAGAGGTGGAGGTCTGTGATTGTTGGTGGAGCTCTCCCTTCCCCTTCTACTACATTCTTTGTTCTTTCTCTGTCCTTTCATTTCCACCCCTCTCCCTCCTTGTCTCCTCACTCTCATTGACTGCAGCATCAGATCTTGGCCACCGCTCCTCTGTCAGTGATAGTTTGTTTGGCCCTCGCTCTCTGCTCAGCCTCTCTAATGTAATGAGCCATCATTAAGGAGATGAAGTGGGCCGGCCACCAAGGTCAAAACAGGGGTCATCTGACCTGCTGGTCAGCCATGCTGTGAACAGAGTCCTCTTGGACCTTTGACCCTTGTAATAACGGACAAGAGCATTTGACTGTAGCCTTTAATGACTGCTGTGTCCAGGAAGTGGGTGCTTTATCATTTCCAATTGGATGTAACTGTCAGTTTCAGTGAGTGTATGGAGGCAAATGTACCGTAAGGGAGGAAGACAGCATCTTAAATATGCCAATAAAGTATAAGTTCTTCAGGCCAGGCAATTACTTTTCAAAGTGGTTGCAAGGCTAGCAGCCAGGCATCAGCAAATGATCAGTGCCACGTTTTAAACATTGACATTTTAAGGTCCTGTGTTGGACATTCAGAGCATTAATACAGCAATAAATCACTATTTGCTATGTAAAGATATAGTAGAGTGATGGTGTCCTGAACAGAGAATGAAGTCACGTTACCTCTGTGTGTTAATCTAATCTCTTGTTGTGGCAAGCCGGTCCAGCTGCACATGGATGTTAGTGCATGTGTGTATCCTACTGCCTAGCTCACCGCCACCACTTCGCAGTGTGGTCATATGGGGTTTACCAATGATGCTGGGATGGTGTTGCCCTCCTGTTCCCCCTGGGTTAACACCATTAGCTCTGTCAGCCCTGCTGCTGTTGTTAAGCACTATTTATGGAGTTTGCATTGTTAGCTGCTAGCTACCGGCTCCACCATCTACATGTTGAGAACTGTGTGCAGACACCTCACACTCTCTGAATTTGCACAGAGCCCCTTTAAAGATATAAATGTGTAATAAACATATTTAACATGGATAATCACAGTAGAGGAAATAATGACAATTTTGTCAGTTGTCCCAAATATGAGTCATTTGTGATCTTGAGATGCAGCCCACGAGCTAAATCCTAAAACAGATCAAAGGCTCTGTTTATTTATCTATGAAAGAGAGTTCCTATGGGTCCTTGAAATCCGTAAAGGTTTGTGAATTTGGTTTTAAAAAAAACAAGGCCTTCAAGTTTTCAAAAATAGGCATAAATAGACATGGGTCATTGAGAGTGCTTGAATTTATATACTTCATACAGAAATAGAGTGTGAAGTTCATATATTTCTTTGCTAACGCTCGTAAAGGCGATGTTTCGTGTTCACACATTTAAGCATCTCTCTCTTATAAATTGTTTTCAGTGAGTTTTTGTAAAGCCTGCTCTCAAACTATGCTATGTTGGGTCCTTGAACTTGAGAGAATTGGGCCTGGAAAAACCGTGAAAAGTCCTTGAATTTGATACTTAAGAAGGTGTGGGAACCCTGATAAAAGCATTGAATTACAAGGCTTCTATCTTAATTAACCAGCACTACTTACTGACAAAATGAATACCCATACAATAAAACCACAGGTAGATGTAGATGATATTTGTGATGCTAACTCAAAGAGAGCAAGAACGCACAGCTGGGACCAGTGTATTGATACTGTGGGGAAAAAAGCATGGTAACCATTTTAAATATCCAGAGTTGTTATGCATTGATAAATCGATACTTTAGACAACACTAACACAAGGCATGAGTAGCAGCAGTTACACCACACAGAGCGGTTGATACTCACCCATTTATGTGCTGCCTGTTGAGCCCTGAACGTCACAGTAGAAATACTATATAGAGATGTATTGGAGATTCATAGTATTACTCCTTCTCCTTCAAAATCTATAATAAGACTGTGTCAAACTATCCCTTTATGAATTCAGTTCTTGAATGTGCACCCTTTATATTACTAGTGACATTACAGGAGAAGAATTTAACTGTTGCTGGTCTGTTTTCATCCTGACATGCTTGATTTACATGATCACTAGAACATTGTGAACACAGTTGAAATGATTGATCGGGTTGTTTAAGCCAGTCCGCCGCTGTCATAAAGTAGTCTTATCTATTACTGTTGTAACACGTGATTGACGTGAAGTTTTTTATCAAAGTTGACAAAGCTTTAAATAGTATCTGTAGAGCTGATAAGGTAGATTGAAGGGCTCCGTTTAGCATCCTCAACACATGGTGTATGTGTCCATTTGTGTGTGTGTGTGTGTGTGTGTGTGTGTGTGTGTAGCTACACATACATACACACACACACACACACACACACACACACACACACACACACACACTAGGATAATGACGCACAGATGTGTGTTAAGTAAATATAGGCAGCTCCTTTTTACGGAGCTCAAAGGGGGAGCAGGAGAAATGATGGGGTATTAACAGGAAGTTCCAATTTGTAGGTCAGAGTATAATAACAACCTTTGAGTGAGCAAATTGAAAATGAACCCATTGAGAATTGAGTCGTGTGCAGCTGAACACTCACTCGGGGGCCGCAGTTCCTGCTGAGGAGAAAAAGAGGAAAGAGAAACAGAAAAACACTTATCTGGAGCTGAATGAGAAGAGCTCACCAGCTCTGGAGATACCGTAACTCTCTCATGCCTCATCTCTCAACCTCAAGTGAAATTACATTTGGTCAGCTTTAGGGTCTACATTCGGTTTGGATTTTTATTTATATATAAAAGGTCATTTTCTTGATTTATACTTGGTAAAGAGAGTGATTTTCCTAAACATTAACATAAATATAAATATAAAATTTATATTCACTTGTAATTCATAAATGTATTTTCTGAAATCCTCCCACATTTCTTGCTTGTTCATTTTTTCAGTATAAAGTAATTGAGTAAATGCCAGAATACTGTGCAATCTGTGGGTTAAATGCACTACACCTCCCTCCTACATGCTTGTATTGTAGTACTCAGGCCTTTGAAGTTTCACTGGGACCTTAAAGGAATACTCAACACCCCAAATAATCATTTGAATATCAGTTACTCACACCATGTTATGTTTAATGCATAAAGAAAACTTTCCCATGCCTCCATGGTGAACAAAGAATTCAAAAACTGGGAAACTTTTTGATGAATTAAAGTCATAGGCAATTGCCTTTAACATTAAAACTATATCAAAACATCAGTTTACAGACTCTTGCAGCTGGATAAATGAAACTTGGACTATACTGCACAAGTTGTGTGAAAGTTTGTAAATAGAAGTTGTGACAGAGTTTTGCTGTTGTTACATGTACATGCTCTTCACCAATCTAGTCAGTGTAAAATTGGCAAAATTCATCACCCTGCTAGTTTGTATTAAAGTTGGAGTATAAATGTAATTCTTCAGGGGCCAAAATGTCGAGCTGTATGGTCTGAGCAGTTATTTTCATATGTTTTCCCCAGGTTGAGCTGGTGCGGTGGACAGAGAGTGTTGGCCTGACCCTGGTGAACAGAGACCTGAACTCACTGCAGCTGAAGACTCCTTCTGGACAGATTCTCTCCTTCCACATCCTGCAGATCTTCCCCTTCACCTCCGAGAGCAAAAGGATGGGCATCATCGTGAGGGTGTGGGACTCATAACAATATGATGTGTGGATGCTCCTTCCTGTGGGGTGTTTTTGTTTCTAAATCATGTGTTTTACGTCTGTTTGTGACTGTCTCTTCAGACATTAGATTTACAGGACTTATATGTTATTCACATTTGAGGTTTTACCTTAAATGCCTTAGAGAAACCAGACTTCTATATTGTAGGTCTTTTGTTTTTTTGTGTGTCCTCTTGCATCTTTTGAACTGCACAGAAACTTGCAGCTGAATTGGGATAGAGATATAGTTCTGCTGTTTTAGTTGTACACTGAGAGTGTACTAATTGTCATTTGTAATTTGATTCAGGAGGAGTCCACAGGTGACATAACTTTCTACATGAAGGGTGCTGATGTTGCCATGGCGAGCATCGTCCAGTATAACGACTGGTTGGAAGAAGAGGTAAAGGCTTTAGCAATGATGCAAATCCATACTTCATACTAATGGTGCATTCTTCTCAAGACTTTAGGTTGTACTCACTTGGAAGTGTTCGAACATTGGTTATTTTCACAACTAGCACTGAAGTCACATCATTTAAAAAGCCTAAATTAGCTACCTATGCTGCGTTACGTATGTGGAGTGGTTTGTTTAAAAGGGACAGATAGAAACGCGACCATTTTTTAACACTTACGGTTTGTCGCGTCAGTTTTATATATAGAGAGTGGCGAATTATTACAAAAGTTATCTCAGGGTACCTTTCATATAGAGCAATTCTGGACTGTACTCTTGATTTATAGAGACCCAAAAAATTGTCACCAAGAGCAAGCACACTGGCTACAGTGGCAAAGAAAAACTTTCTTTTAAGATGCAGAAACCTCAAGCAGACCCAGATTCTAAGCGGGTGGCCAGTTTGGTTCAAAGTGAGAGAGGGGACAGAGACACAGAGATGCACAGCAGCAACAGTAACAGTAGTTATTAGCTGGTTTCGGACTACACTGTCTCATTTTAAGTCAGTTCCTGAAATGATCAAGAGAGCAAAATATGGATCCTATGTCTGTTTTTATGCATCTCTTCCCCTGTGACCCATTTCAAGACAGTCACGCCTCATATAGAGTGTGATGAGCATGACAGGACTTACGGACACATACCCCCTTCCACATGATATCTACATCAGCTTGCTTTAAAAAGAAAACAAAAAATGATACATTCATACAATCATTTTTCTCAAAATATGATCATTTTAAACCTGATGTTTGACAATTTGCATCTGGCAACGCTAATTGTTACTGTCAGAAATTCTTTATCTCAGACTGAATTACAATGCCGATATTGGTCACTCGGTCGCTTGTAATCACGTAGCGTAATTATGATGTGACGTAAACGAGGCAGGAAAATGTGACAAAATAAAGAATACTCAAACCAGACAATGTGCACATTAAAAACCCAGATTTTGTGTGTGCTGTTAATGTCCAGCACCCTCTCATAAACAGGACATTCATGGAGAGACCAACAGGCCGTGCCTACACCAGTGTGGTGGTCGAAGGTCTTGTGTGCATATGTTCATAATTATATTGGCATTATTGAGTCATTTAGCACTGGGGGCAGCGTTTGATTTAATTAGTGACCTACATAAAGTTGAAGTAATTACAGTATGTCATATTCTTGAACAATGGTGCTAATGATGTCCTGTTGGCTGTAATATCCCGCTGTCAAAGCAGCCGGCGCTGCGGTTACACTGCTTGTCAATAACCAATCAACAGGACAGATTTGCCCCATTGGTGTTTCATATCAAAAATAAACCGCCATCCATCCCTTTGTTTTACTGTGTCCTCTGAACTTCACCAGAGGCTATGTTATTCACTATTGATTTCTTTGGTGTTGGTAACAATATGCTGCTATTGACGGTACTGTACATGGTGTACTTATACAGCAGCTGCTCTGATAGAACAGATGATCTGCCCTATGTTTGATATATACTTATCTTCAAGAAATGACATAACTGAACATTCACAAACATTTATTTTGAATAACCACAATCTCTAAATTCAACCATAAAAATAAATCTTTAGAGCTGCAGTGGAAAATCCTTCTGAAAATCTTAGAAAAACTGCGTGTATATCTGTTGATTAACATCCTCCTCTCCTTCCTATTAGTGTGGGAACATGGCCAGAGAAGGCCTGAGGACACTGGTGGTGGCCAAGAAGTCTCTTTCTGAGGAGCAGTATCAGGACTTTGAGGTATGGATGGACACTACTGTCTTTTAAAGGTTGAACAACTCTATTCAGTATTTACTCTTTGTCTGGTTTACATCTCAGTTGCCTGGTCTGTTGCAGCCCGTTTACCCTAATATTTCCTCCTCCTTTTGTCTCCCCCTGCCACCTCCCTGTATGTGCAGAGCCGCTACAACCAGGCGAAGCTGAGCATCCATGACCGAGGCCTGAAGGTTGCAGCAGTGGTAGAGAGCTTAGAGAGGGAGATGGAGCTTCTGTGCCTGACTGGTGTAGAAGACCAGCTACAAGCAGACGTCAGGCCCACACTGGAGCTGCTCAGGAACGCTGGCATCAAGGTGAGCAAGGAAAAAAAGCATTACTACCAGGTTAATGCTGATAAAGTGCTCACCTCAGCAGTCTGTCGGGGTTGTAATAAGATACACAAAAAGCAGGCAAATGCTGGTCTTCTACTGGAAACCAGTTGTGTCTATGCATCCATTTAAACCAGACTGTGAGATCCCCAGTCTTTGTAAAGTCTTACAGAGTGTGACTAAAAACTCACATTGATATTAGATGTTAGAAGGTGTGTGAGAGTTTTCAAGTTGTTTCAAAGTCTTCTAGTGTATAGTAGGCATAATTTGTACATTTTCTTGAGTAAAATTAAAATTACTCTGACAGAGTGTCATGTACTTCATAGCGATGATGTTTTGCCTGTTAATGAAACATCTTCACTTCACACTTGCTGTAATCTCGTTCTCTCCTCAGATCTGGATGCTGACAGGGGACAAGCTTGAGACAGCTACATGCATCGCGAAAAGCTCCCACTTAGTCTCCAGAAACCAGGACATTCATGTTTTCAGACCGGTACGCTGTTTTACGTTACCCTCTTTCCCGTGCTTTGTAACAATCATAATGTGCCTACGTAATGGGAGCCTAACTGCCTGATAGCTAATTGTATTGTGTGGCTCTCGAGCAGGTCTCAAGCAGAGGAGAGGCCCATCTGGAGCTCAACGCCTTCAGAAGGAAACATGACTGTGCTCTGGTCATCTCTGGAGACTCCTTAGAGGTACTACAGCACAGCACAGCACACAGTGACATTTCATTGCGCAGCAGATGATGCTTAGGATGCAGCCAAAACAGGCGATGAGAGAATAAAAAGTACTTCTCAGCCAAGACTAATACTTTGGAGTTCAAACAAAGCCTTGAGGATTTGAAGAGGAAAACAAAACACTAAAACATATTGGTCACTTTTTTTAGGAGGCAAAACAATTGAAACTTTTAATGAAAATTTGTAACAACTAACAGCTTGTTGGAAGAGAAACACATCAGTGTTTTCACCTGCATGGCGTACAAGATAATTTGATTAATGTAATGAAAGAAATCATGTAAATTGATCTGGAGCTTTTAGTGTCTAGTAAACTTGTGTATCTCCATCTCTGTTGTGTTGCAGGTGTGCTTGCGGTATTACGAGCATGAGTTTGTAGAGCTGGCATGTCAGTGTCCGGCGGTGGTCTGTTGTCGCTGCTCCCCAACTCAGAAGGCCCAGATAGTCATGCTCCTCCAGCAGCACACAGCCAACAGAACCTGTGCCATAGGTGAGTGCTGACAGACAGGGGAGGTGTGTCTGTGTAGATTTAGCTACGTTTAAGGGGAGAAAAATGTTAAACAGTGTGTAAAACAATCTGTTGGAAAGATGAATTATGCTAGCAGGCCAGTGGATTGTAGATAGATATTGTAGATAGATAGATAGACAGTAATATTAAATATTGCTCTTTTTATCCACCAGATGGCAGTCAAAGCTCACCTAGAGAGGCACCCAGCAAAGTCTGCTATGTTTCTAACCCCAATCATACAATGTAAAAAATGTAAAGCTTATTTTAGAATGTGTATATCATTCCATTTTGTGTCAGGTGATGGAGGAAATGATGTCAGTATGATCCAGGCTGCAGACTGTGGTATTGGGATTGAAGGAAAGGTAATGTCCTCCATATGTTACATTAACAGTAACAACAGAACATTTCATAAAGACTTTTAGAATTCAGTGAGAGATTTTTCTGATAATCTTGAATAAACATGTTAAAAGCTCTTTTTTGAAGTTTTAAATCACACTGTAGCATTCCAGTAGTGTTCCTCAAGTATTCAAATCCGAAACTTCAAAATTTGGTCAAACAATGTGTTATCGCCTCAAAATGCTATTTTCCCAAGCCCTTCTAAAAACTTTTTCACACATAATCCAACATTGGTTTCTGCACAGTGAAGTTGTTACATATAAACCAACAGCATGTGCTGCTACAGATGCCATGTTAATTTGGTTCCAATTTGGAGTCAGCGGTAGACTAGCAACTCCTGTGTGCTGTGAGGTAAAATGAAATTAAATGTATCTATGGTCCCTTCAAAGCCACTGACAAAAACAATAGGTTAACCTAAACTGGTCTACTACTGTCCGATCAGTAGTTTGTTTGTGTTATTGTGTGACTTTGGTGAATCCAAACTAACCCTTTAAAAAACCATTATAACACATGATGAATTCAACATAGCCTGGGATGAATAATTGATATATGGATGGTCATTAGGGGTGATGAAGTATTCTGTTAAGTAGTAAAACTATCAGTATTCATAGGTCTACATTTTCAGTGGTGATATCTTTCCCTGAAGGCCGTACCTCTTACTAAACTGTCAAGAACTTTAGCAGCACACAAACAACAGTTCACAGCATTAAGAGAAGTGTCTTGTGATAACTTACAGCGCTCATGCTTCTACATACTGTATCTGCCTTTATTTTCAGTTTTGTGATTTGTATCAGGTTTTGTAGAAGCAGACGTTACTGTGTACTTAAATTCAACTCAGCAATGGCATCTTCATTCTTGTGTGTAAACAGGAGGGGAAGCAGGCGTCTCTGGCTGCAGACTTCTCCATCACTCAGTTTAAGCACATCGGTCGTCTGCTCATGGTTCACGGCAGGAACAGCTACAAGCGCTCTGCAGCGTTGGGTCAGTTTGTCATGCACAGAGGCATGATCATCTCCACCATGCAGGTACAAAAATCATTAAATCATTGACAGGGCCCTGGGGACGGGAGGGGCTTGGGGATTGGACTAGTGTGGGATAGCGTGAACGCAGAAGGCCTAGTCCCTGTTTGGCCCATCTCCTAGTAGAAAGCTGCTCCTTAGTTGCAGTTGAGCAGACCCCTCCTGGATGGTTGGGGACTGTCCTGAAGGAAGTGTGATCTGCAACAGGCCATCCTCCTACAGGTATGGAGCCAGCCTCGAGGAAGCAGGGAAAAGAAGTGGAAAAAGGGCTAAAAATTAGGGGAAATGAAAAAAGGAGAAAAAAATAGTGGTGATAAAACAACCAAACAAAAATAAGAATATAGAAATGCATGTAGTTCTGCTGTGGCCCGTGTGTCACCTCAAGTTTGGGGAATTTTAAATGATTTTTTATGGCTTTCATTGTCATGTTTGTTAATGTTTTGTTCTTAATGTCTGTTTAAAATGAATAGTTTTTGTTTTTTTTTTGTTTTCTGTCCTCAGGCTGTCTTCTCTTCTGTATTTTACTTTGCCTCTGTGCCATTGTACCAGGGTTTCCTCATGGTTGGGTATGTACCTGCTCTAAATGTGTTTATGTGGTTAAAAATGATTTATTGTTCTAATTTTATCCACTACCTCACTTTGCTCACAGAATGATGGAACAAGGCCAATCATTGTCTGACTTCTTTATTAAAACAATAGTTTGTTTTGCTGCCTCCAGAACTCTGTCACCTATAGTATTAACTGCCAGTAGCTCCTGGGCACCCCAATTCAACCAGGAACAAAATCTTTGAGATCGCCACTACAAGATCCTTTGGACAACTGAGATATTAAAAAAAAGGCTAGCAGCAGCAACATAGCACAGAATTGAGGGTTTATTTGATAAAGTGAACGTGTAGTTTGGTGCCCATCCTCTCCATTAAAACACCACTTTGTTCTGTGCAGCTATGCCACCATCTACACCATGTTCCCAGTGTTCTCTTTGGTTCTGGACCAAGATGTGAAGCCAGAGATGGCTCTTCTCTACCCAGAGCTGTATAAAGACCTCACCAAGGTACAGTTCCCGTTTTTTAAAATGTACAAATTTGACAAAATAAATTCACTTTATCTGCATTTTCTTCCCTTCAGAACTTTTATTAGGAGGTCACTATCATGTAAACATACAGTTGCACTCATGGGTGATGTTTGTTTCTTTCAGGGGCGTTCATTATCTTTCAAGACTTTCCTCATCTGGGTTTTGATCAGTGTGTATCAGGGTAAGGTGCCCAATCTCATTCTTAAAGTTACTTTCTACTCTCACTCTCTGGCAGATGAATACATTAGATTCATAAAAATAACCCTGATGTTTTAACAGAACTACCTGAGACATGACAGTGTCTCTAAAGATTGACCAGACTGGTATTGTAGACTGTCACAGCAACTCCTCAGCCACCATTTCATCTTTGCTACTGTGTCTTAATACCAGGATCTTTGGGCCCCTTCAAACTCTCAGACAGTCAGTTTCTCAGTATCTTAGGTTTCCAACCGCCATCCGCTTTTACATGCAGGCTTTTGTCTGTCCAGTAAATCGATATTTCTGTAATCGCTAAGCCATGCAGCGTGTGAGAAAGATCTATGTTCCTGCTCAAGCGTGACTTCCTGACAGCTCGAGGTTTTTAATTAAAGGCCAATACCAGGTCTGTGGAGAAAAAAAAAAAAGAAAAGAAAAACGTGAAGACAATATGAGAGCATGACAGCAGAGGGGGAAAATATTGGGCACCAATCTTTCTTAATTTATTACAGAGTTTGACTCGCTGGAATGTGTGCTGTATGAAGACTGTATGAAAAAGCAATTAGGTGTGCAGTTATAGGCTATTAAGCTCAATTTGTGTTGTGTTATGATAAAATGAAGGGCTATCAAGATACAGTAGGCGCCCTAAGATGAGTGAGTGTCTGGACACATAAAGATGTTAATCAGACGGAGACACACTGGAGCACATTTTACTCTCTTAAATAACAATATCAAATCAGTCCTCATCTCCAGACACATTAATCCTTAACTCGGTGTCCCAGTCAGATGATTGTGGAGCAGACCTTTGAAAAAATGTTAAGAAAGAAAGAATGCATGAAGAAAAATGGTCCCGCAGGAAAGAATTCAAACAAGTATACAACCCACTTTTTATCATCTCTTTAAACAACTGTGATGTCATGCAGTCGATTTGTTTCCTTTGGTGCCACCAGGTGGCATCCTCATGTACGGCGCGCTGGTGCTGTTTGAGTCAGAGTTTGTGCACGTGGTCGCCATCTCCTTCACAGCACTCATCCTGACCGAGCTGCTGATGGTGGCGCTGACGATTCGCACCTGGCACTGGCTCATGGTGGTGGCCGAGTTCTTCAGCCTGGGCTGCTACCTGGCCTCGCTCGCCTTCCTCAACGAATACTTTGGTAGGTATCCATTTATCTGGTTCTTTTATATTGAGCTTGTGTCTTTGGAAACTTCAGAAATTAAAAGAAAAGCTTAATTTTTTGATGCAAAGATGCTTTTATGAAATTAGTTTAGCAAAGTTTTATGTGCCCAAGTTTGATGAAAACTGCGACCTCTAAAAGACTTAAAGGTATACTATGCAGGAATTGCCAGTTACAGTATTGCCAGCAAAAGTGAAAGCCTACCCCAGATTAACTCTATTTGGCATCTCTCTTTGCTCTCTTTTTGTGCTGTGTCCATGATTTTTGTGGCTTCCTGTTGAATGCACCCTTTTTATGGTCACTACCTTTTGATAAAGTCCTGACCTCACCAGAGTGCTGTGCCCACGAATGTCCCAAACACAGGCAGAAAATACAGACAGAGGGCAGATAAATACACCATAGGTTATAAGTGTTGATGAAGAGGCATTAGCTTTGTAAGAATATACACATCGTCCATCCATTTTCATCCACTTATTTGGGGCCGGGTCGTGAGGCAACAGGCCAAGCAAATCATTTCAGACGTCTCTTTGCCCAGCACATTTTCCAGCTCCTTCTCCGGAGGTGTTCCAAGGCCAGATTAGATATATTATCCCTGTAGGGTGTTCTCCTACCAGTTAGACGAGCCTGTAAAATCCTCTGACAGGAGGTACCCAGGAGGCATCCTGATCAGATGCCAGAACCACCTCAATTGGCCCCTTTCAAAATGAAGGAGCAGCGGATCTACTGCGAGCTCCCTCCGTATGTCTGAGCTCCTCACCATATCTCTAAGGCCCAGACACCCTCAGGAGGAAACTCTTTCGGCTGCTTGTATCTGCAATATCATTGTTTTGGTCACTACCCAAAGCCCATGACCATAGGTGAGGGTCAGAACGTAGATTGACCGATAATAAGAGATCTTTGCTTCCATCTTGCTCCTTACCTTCTTTCAGTGCAGTGCCCTCATCACTGTAGATGCCATGCCAAACTGCCTGTCCATTCTCACACTCCATTTTACCCTTACTTGTGAACAAAAACTTGAAAAAGCAGTCACTCACTCCCCCAAGTGAGTGAGCTACTGTCTATACATTGCTCTTTAAGGAAAATTCTCCATAGTATACCTTTAAATCAGAAATAAATATGAGGTAGTTGGCACAACAGCAGTTAATCTATGTTTTGTTATTGTTAAATCTCCTGATTATTTTCTGAAATAATCGATTCTGTGTTGTTTTTTTTTGTCTGAAATGTCACAAAATAGAGTGAAATACTCATTTTAATGTCCCAGGACCCAAGCTGCAGCAGTCAGATTTCTTGTTCTGTCTAACAAGCCATCTAAAAAGTGGAGTTTCCTATCACGTGACAAAGAAAAGAAGCAAATTCTCACATTTGAAAAGACAAAATACTTATCGACTATAAAGACTAATCGTTTCAGATATTATTCTATAAAGAACACATCTATGACTCACTTCCAGTGAGCTGTCTGTACAGGAGAAGAATAACTTTACTTTCTGGTTTGGTAAGTCCAGTATTGAGTGGACTTAGCACTTGAAGGGGCCACAGTCCTCTTTACTGCACCTGCTTTGTGCTGATTTTGATGTAACACTACCTGACACCCAAGTGTTGTGCAGTAGTTCAGCCCTCAGCTCTGTGCTTTAACTGCTCCCCCTCTCCTCTCTCACTTTGTCTCTCTCTGTTTCTCTGTTCACTGCTAACCTTTGTCCTGCACTCACTTTATTTCTGCTGCGTTTCTTTTGCTTCTGTATGTTGGCAACAGGCATAGGCAGGGTGTCCTTTGGAGCTTTCCTTGGTAGGTGTGCAGCCTGTGAACTCATCTCCTCATTTCCCTCATCCGCCTCTCTACATTTATGTCTGTATGTTCCAGTGATGTTGTACTCTGTCATCTTTTTGTTTGATTTGAATCAAGGTTTCTTTATGTCATGTGCACTGCAGATGTTTGTTATCTTGTGTTTTTTGTGTCATTCCACTGTTAAGTTTTCATTATTAGTGCTGTGACAAATACACAAACTCCAACATGTTGTGATTGGATCCAGCACATCAAGACCAACATCTGATGATGACTTTCTAAGCTGTTTCTCAACTGTTCATGCTGCTTTTATCTCCTCAAGTGACTCTTTCATCACTTGATTTAATGCCAATTTTCCGACGTTAAGATGTGTATTAAAGCTGTTTTTCTTCTGCTTCTTCTCTCAGACTTGTCGTTCATCACGACTTGGCCTTTCCTGTGGAAGGTGTCTGCCATCACGCTGGTCAGCTGTCTTCCTCTCTACATAATCAAATACCTGAAGCGCAAGTTTTCCCCACCGAGCTACTCCAAACTATCCTCATGAGCCAAACTTGGATTACTCGTGTTTGTTTCGTAGTTTTCGTGCTTCTCTGAGCTTTGTTTTTTCAGCACTTTTTCCTTACTCACTGATCCTCAGTGACGGACAGGTAAGAAACCACTGGAACAATCGAAAATGTTCTTTGGATTATGTCACTGAGATTTTGGATTACTTGAAAAAAAAACGGAGCACATAAGAAAAAAGACTAAAAGGACAGAGTCACCAAAAGAAGGGCAAAATGGTGTAAGTGACTGCACTTCAAACTTGACTCAAAAAGGGTCAATCTGCCTTCTTTTGTTTTTAAGCATTTACAACAAATCAGCTTCAAATGTCATTTTATACAGTTCTGATGCATTTCTTTAAATGTTTAAATTTTTATATGTGGAGTTCAGAATTTTTTTAAGTGTTATTTTTTATTCCAGGTATTAATTACAGTCGCTGGCCTGCATCTTTCAACAGTGTTGAGTTGCTGTAAGGGATTTAAAAAATTAAAAAAAAGATCTTTTATTTTAATGTTTTTGTATGTTACTGTAAATAAAGCCTTTACATGCAGCTTTGATCACTGCTGCTGTCAATGTGAAACCTCACTGCATTTAAAGAGACAGTTCACCCCAAAATACATTTTTTTAAAAAAAAATGCACATTTTCCCCTCTTACCTCTTACCTGCTCTTTATTAATCCATATTGTTTTGGTGAGGGCTGCAGAGTGTTGCAGATATCAGCCGTAGAGATGTCTGCCTTCTCTCCAAAATAATAGAACTAGATGGCACTCAGCTTGTGGTGCTCTTAGTGTCAAAACAATACATATAAAAAACTCAACAGTGATGTCTCTTTCCAGAAATAATGACCTGGTTACTTAAGATAAAACACAGACCTTGTTGTGAGCAGTTTCTTGTAGGAACTATTTTCTTTCTACCAAACTACACCGACCTACTGAATCACTGCACAGAAGGAAGTGTGCATCTACTCATGGAAAACTATGGCGGCATAGTGTGTGATTTTAAACAGTATGAGAGGCGTGACATGTAAATTCACAGCATCAGCCTCTAGTGTGATGTGTAACACACATGGGCAGCACTTTATAAACAATAAGAATGGCATTAACATGGCAATAACAATCATCCTCCGTCTCTAATATGGCGGTTGACCTCATCCTGTGCTCGGAGCGGAAGGAGCTCCCAGACCTCATTGAATTCCCAGTTTGCTGATATTTGCAACTGCTGTACTTCTTTTTCAAGTTAGCTGTTATCCAAAACATCACACTTGTCTCTTCCATGGTTCCATCTTGTCAGCTGTCCCTTTTACACGGATGTCAATTCAGTGCTGTTACTGCCTATGCTGCTGGCTTAAAAGCAAGACAACTCTGTCCCCCCATTCCACAATCATACCTTTTATACAGAATGTTGAGACGCAAGATTTCCACCTTGAACAGGCAGTGTAAAGGGGGGTACTATTGGCATCCTCTTTGGCTGAGCTGTAGCATTAGCTGACTTAGTGATGCTAGGTGAGCTAGCAGTAGATGCATGCTTCCTTCTGTGCGAGGTTACAGTTGGCGGGTAATAAAAGACAGTAGTTCCTAGGGCAGATATCTCCCAACGCTCTGCAACTCACAACTAAACAGTCTTACAAATAGAACTACAAGTAAGAGGAGAAATATTTTGATTTTGAGGTGAACTGTCCTTTTTACTCTTCAAATAACATTTACGATGACATTCACAAAAAGAATGCTGGGACTTGCTTCAAACTGAATTTCCATGTGTTCGCTGCTTTACGTCCTGTCCATTATACAAGACAGTGAATGACATCATCAATCATCATCTTCGTAGTATAAAACCAGCACTCCATAGCATCAGTAAATGTTGTATCATCAGCATATTTGGCCTTGATTATACTGCACAACTTAACATTTATGATGTCTGTCAGTGGCCACCAGTCCTCTTGTCAGGACATGGCAGCTCGCTTTGTGCCTCATTATCATGTATGTCATCATGTATGTACCGAAGCTGCGTCTCATAGCATTGGATGTTTGATCTGAACTTACAGGAGCCTGAATCCTGCTGCTCTACATGGAGAACATTTTTCTGATGGTAAAACTACTTTAAAAGTCACAATGAAGGACCCTGAAACACTGATGGCTGTATTTATTTTTAGGCCTTTATTGACAGTATGAATCCCCTGGGCTTCAGTGTGACTTTGGCCTGTAGCGGACGTTGACATTCAGCTCTTTTTAAGGAGGAATGAGTTTTATCATTCACTCCATGTACTCCTAGTGCTGAGTATGTTTTGAGCACAGTCGAAGAAAGTGAAACTGATCCTTTAAATGTACAGTTCATTAAACAGGGTGTAGTCTAGCTATGTTTATTAGTCAGGTTGTCATTTCTTACTAAATTGAGTTTAACTCAGGTCGACTTAATATAGCTGTCGGCAACCGCACTGTAAAATGTAGCTACACTACAGGAAAAAAGGCAAATACAGGAAATGGCTATTTGGGTGCGACTGTGACACTTGGATGCAAATTGCATTTAGGTTTTAAATTTCTGATTTACATTCTTATAAAGAGCAGTTCCAAATGTTGATTCCCGTGTTTTATGTTGAGATCTTTGCTCTGTGCTCTATGTGATGTTGTAAAAACTTTTTCTGTCTCAGCAACTTGCTTTCCATGTCCTACAATTTCGATTTCTAACAGTATGTCTTGTTATTTATAATATTGTTATTGATTAATAAATAATAAAGAGACGACAGATGCCAAAAGTGCTTTTTTTTCTTCTCATAATGTTGACAGAATCAGATAATCAAGACAGTTGCTTTTATTCAGCATGAAGCTCATTATGTGGCCACTAGATGGGGATAGAGATTAAACTTGACTGAGGAAGATACGGTTGAAGGTAAAGGATCACTGTAATATTTTTGACCACTTAGAGATATAACTCAGTTTACTCATGAAAATGCTGCTCTGCTGAGAATATAAGTACCACATATAAGGGGCTCATATGGAACATGAGATTTTAACATCCACAATGACCAGTGCTTTTCAGTGCAGTAATATGATTTAACAAATGTACATTAATAAACTCAACAAATCGTTGTGACCCAAGTTCTCAGCGCTCTAAATTAACATGTTTGTACGACAATTTAACAAGAAATAGATTGGGTACTTTGTAAATGCAACATTTTTTACCCAGAAAAAAAACATTATGTATTCAGTTTTATCAAATACTGCTTTTAACACATTTTAAGCCCTCAAAGTACTTGTGCGAAATAATATTGATACACTTGAGTATTGCATTATGTTTTGTGATACTGTATTGATTCTCAAAAACATTGTATTGATTTTTAAATGTTTACTTTTTTTTGGTTTTCCTTATTTGTTACCCAAAGAAACCTTCAAGCACTTTTATTTTATTTTATTACTGATACTAAATGGTAATCCTTTGCTGAGATTGCACAAAAAGTAGTTCTAAGATGATGGATATTATTGAGACTGTGAAAGCTACAAATGCAGATTTCACTGTTCTTATTGCATAAATAATACGCCCATGGTGTTGTGTTCTTCATACACTTTTTTTCTCTAAAATTAGATTTTAAAAAGGGCAATGTATCAACTTACAGTATTGCAATATATTGTACAGACCTGTAACCCCTATATTGTGATGTGTATCCTATTGCCAGATTCTTGCCAACACACAGCTCTACTTGTTACACACATTCACAGCTGTTACATAGCCAACTGTTGGTTATCTGAGTAATACCTTAAACTCCTGCCTCTGCTCAAAAATCTGTTATTCTTATTGTTACGTCCCTTGGATGTTTGAGCTTCACTGTGCAGAATGATGTATGTGCAGAGTTTGACATTAGAAGGCTGTTTTCACTTTCTCCATGCTCACCTTAAATCTTCAGTTAACACCTGGAAGCACCAGCTGACTTCTGTGACATCATAAGATTGGAAGCCAATCATGAGCCAGTCTGCAACTTGCACACGTATGATTGAAACTTGAAACCTGAGACAACTTGTGTCTGGCAGTTAAACTTTTAACACAGAAAATATTTGCAAATTGATAGATTCTAGATTTGTGGATTTGTCAAAGAAGGATAAGGAGTAGGTGTCGACATGTGGCAGCACACATTGGTACACTTTACAGCTGAAGGGCACGCGACTGGAGGCAGCTTTTGAGGTAAAGATGACCAATGCTGCACAGATGCCTATTATTTGTGCTATATACAGCTGCTCCAATTGAATAAATTGGGAAAAACAAAAGCCACTTGAAAATTAGTACATAACAGGGTGAAGTGTTAAAAGACAACAACAAAAAAAACAACAGTTAAAGCAAATGTGGGTCAAAAACCTCTATCTTAAGTCTGGAGGAGTGGAGGAAACTCATGTTAAGTTTAAGTGTTGCATCAAACATGTTTTGACTTGATATTGCCCTGCAGTTACAACATGCTGTGACAACTTTGTGTTTTGTAGTGACAACCCAGGTTTTAACGGCATTTCACAAGACCTCTAGGAACAGCTAAAAGTAGTAGCTAAAGTTAGCTAGCTGACCTGATGCCAGCAGTGCATCCATGTATATATTTGAACTGAAATGTAGAAAGACAATTAAACTCCAGCACATTTACTCACCCAGCCAAAAACAAAATGGCAGTAGTTCAGTGTTACTTTTGCTCTGAGTTCTTTGACCCAGTTGCACACAAGATGGTCCTAGTCTTCTAGACTGTGTGCTATCATATGGCTTGCCGAGCAGTAGGAGGTCTGGAGGACATTGATCGGTTGTGTCCACGTCAGGTTAATCAGTCAAGTTGTGGGAAAAATCGCTTTTCTACATTTTTGATAAATCACATCCAACATGAGTTTAAAATTATCTGACGATACCTGCTATCTTTAGATTCATCCAACCGTTTTATTCAATCACTTTCCTCTATTTCCAGTAGAGCACTTGTTGTAAACCAACCTGGAAGTTAGTGTCACCCTGGTCTCCTCTTCAAAAAGCCAGTGGGATTTTTCAATTGTCATTTTGAATTATTGGGAACTACTCATTTCTGAGTTTCACGACACATTCTGGGACCACTCTGGATTGATCACTTTCTGCCTTCAGTATCACGTCATAATATTCACATCATTAAAAAAACAAGCTAATTTTAACCTTTTAACCTTTTTTAGTGGAAAAAAAAAATCAAATTATCATTCAACTCAAAATATTTTGATATGTTTAAATAAAGAATATCTGAATGGGCTCTATAAAACAAATGTAAGGGAGAAGGAGTAGGTCTAATAAAAAAAACAACATATTTATGTAAAAAAACAAAAAAACATGAGAAACACAAGTCAAAGTAGAGTTTGTGTCCTAATACCTATCTGTAGGGGATCTTTAAGTAATGGAACCTTACTGTATGTGAAGAGAGCTTAAAAACAGACATGCCTATATAGTAATTACAGATTGTGCTTTTAAATGCAAAAACTGTGGAGGAAGATTCAATGTATACACTCAAAGAAAAGATATGTTTTACTATGTAATCTAAGGCAGTCGCGGAGCAAACAGACAATGTGTTATCAATTTCTCCCCGCAGAGCAGGAAGTACTTTGTGGATGGAGGAGTGACCCAGTGATGAATGTGATGGTCCGCTGGCTTTAACATGTTAAGAAATGTTCTCTTTCATCTCCTCATGTTCACTTTGTAGCTGTGCTGTCCACGGGAGAGAAGTGCCGCACCATAGGTTGTATTTAACTGTTCCTACAGTGTGTGCGTCTATGGAAGATCATTGTGGTGTGTTTTCCAGAGCAGCTGCAGCTAATGTGCTGCATGAGGAGCTTTGATGGACCGGATAATGTTCATGTGACTAATGATTTATTGTACTAACAGAGAACAGTTTGTCTTTGTTGGAGCGATGTTCTTTTTGTGCAGTTTTTGTGTGTCAAGTTATGTTT